AAATACAGAAGCCACCCTCCCCTGACTTCCCCAGGCCCTGTAATATCATCCAGAATCCTGCATGGCCCAGGAAGCCCTACCTGCCCTCTCCTCCCCTTGCCCACCTCATCTGCCCAGCCTGCCTCCCTGCAGCTGTCCAGACTCTCCCAGCTGGTCTCACCTCTCAGCCTTTGCATGGGCTGTGCTCCCTGTTTGGACGTCCTTTGCAAGGATGCATGACACCTGCTTACAAGACCTGCCCTTACTATCCCGGCCAAGGTAACACCATCTTTCTCTTCTTGCTGCTTGTTCTTTGCCTTCCCAGGACTTAGCACAGTACCTAATAACACTCCTTCTGTGACCCCCCACCATTCCTCCTGGACCAGCATAGCTCCCTCTGCCCCGGTCTCCACGCACCCACGGTCTGTTCTCCTCAGCAGCCACCAGAGGGCTGCCTGTGAGCACCTGAGTCAGGTTTAGTCCTCGGAGGACAGCCTGTCCTCCTCGCAGCCAACATTAGGAGCCAGAGAGCCTCTAACCCCCACATGCACCTGCTGTGCCCACCGCCCTCCATGGCTGCCACGCCCCGCGGGGTAAAAGCCCAAGTCCTCCGACACGCCCTGGCACCCTGCACGACCTGACCCTTCCTTTGCGCTGGGTGTTCTTTTGGGCCGGGACACTCTTTCCATTTGAACCGTCACTCCGGTCTCTATTCAAGTACGCTTCCCAACAGCCCCACGCTCCGCACCTCCCTGCTGTCTCTTTGGCGCTCAACGCCAGTGAACACGTTGTCCTCTCGTTCCCCGTCGACCCCTCCCCTCAATGTCAGTTTCCCACGCTCAGGGGTTTTGACGTTGTTCATCGCACAGGGCCCAGCACACAAGCACACAGTAGGCGCTTAATGCATGTTTGTTAAATGACTGAATATTTACGGGTGTTGTAGCCCCATCAGGCCCTTCCATGTCCAGCACCCAACTCAGAGCCTGGCAAGAGCAAGCGCACAGCCAATATTTGTCGAAATGACTAATGAACTGCCCAGGCGCGCAGCCCCAGCCTGGACGAACTCGAAGAGGTGCCCAGGCTTCTGTAGGACACCGTCCGAGCGGGCAGCTGACTACCGCCGGGCGGCGCCTCCCACCGAGATCTCCATTCCCGGTGGGACCCCTCCTCCCTAGGTGCCCGCTACCACACAACATATCCCTCCCTAGCAATCATGGGTGCCCTTTTCCGCCCCTCCTCCGCCTGCAGGGAACCCCTCTGCCCACAAGCTCTGTATTTCCCTGCACCGCCCCTCCCGTGACCTCAGTCCCGCGAGACTCCTTCCCCTCGCCCCTGGAGGTCCCTCAAGACCCCCTCATTTGCCCCTTTCCCGGAGGAGCCTCGGTTCCGGCCTGCTGAGAGACCCTCCCCGCCCCCTCCACGCAGGCGCAGGGCGTCTTGGCCGTCCTTCCTCTCCCCACACCCCACCCCTGCTTTCCCCACTCCCCCTGCCGAGGGCGGGGCGAGGGTTGGTCCAAGGCAGCCGCGGCTCCATGGGGCTCCTGGGGCTCCTGAGCTCGCTGCACTCGGCCTTCTTCCGGGACCAGGTAGGGCTCGGGGTGGGGCGGTCCGGCCCTGGGTGCAGCTAGAGGGTGAGGACGGCGGGGACAGTGGTCTTGGTGGCAGGGGACGCACGGGCTTGCGTACACAGACTTGATGGGTCTGGGGGTCTCTTGCAGTCTCCGTGGAGACTGTTGCCAGGGAAACGGCCTTAGGCTGTTGGCAGGGCTGTGAGCCCCTCCTCTGCACTGCAGCGACCCCCTCCCCCTTGTCTGCTCAAGCGTAGCCTCACCGGGCTCAGGACTTGGCCTCGGAGGGAGACCTCCAGACCAGGCCCATTGCGGGGACGCTGAAATGGCTGGTGCGGTGGGGGCCACGGCAGGAGCGCTCTGTGCCGAGGATCCTCCCAGAACAGGCTTTGTGTGAGGGTCCGTGCCACGCCCTGCACCTATCTGGGCCTCAGTTTCCCTTTCTGGGCGCCGAGCGTAGGTCCGACCCTGACGTTCGCCGACGCTGAGGCTCTTCCTAATGATAGCCATCTCACCCGGCCGAGCTCTTTGCAGGTGTCCGTAGTCGTTCTGAATCCTGGAGCTATAACATCCCCTACTTAAGAGGAAACTGAGGCTGGGGATGCAGCGGGGAGCCCAAGGTCACGCCCGTAGCGGGGCCAGGAGCCTGACTATCAGGCGAAGGCACTCTGAGAGGACGCCACCTGAACACTGTCGGGAGCTGTCCCTGGTGCTGACGGGGCCGCATTCCTGACCCCTACTCACCCGTGAAAATGAGGCCCAGGACCCTGGTCAGGCGACCCACTCAGGATCGGGCTTTGGAGGTGTGGCTTAGATTGACCGGCTCCTCCCCTACAGCCGGGGGCAGTCTTTCTTCACCTGTCAAGGCCAAGTCACCCAGCTGGAGACTTGTTGGTGGTCAAATGATGAGGACCTGGTGCCTTCCTGTTCCCTCCAACCCTCCACCCAGTTCCGAATGGAGGATGCCCCTTGTTCTGCCCCCAGGCCCTGGAACAGCAGAGAGGCTCAGTGGGGAAGGACAGAGATCAAGGAGGTAGAGACTCCTGAGGTCAGGCTCAGAAGGCCCAAAGACCCTCCGTGAGTGACCCTGCAGTGTGCTGAGATGAAGGGGTGGAGTGTCTCAGGGAATGCAAAGAAGCGAGCATCATGATTCCATTTTCTTCTCCAGAACCCAGCAGCAGTGAGCGGGGGGCTGGGAAGGGGCCTCTCTTGCTAGGTCTGGGCACCGTGCAGTGAGAGGGTCTCTCAGCCCCTTGATATTGAGCCTGGGGTCTTGGGGAGCTGTGGGGGTTCCTGAAACTCTTGTGGTTCTAAATTTCCAGTGATGCCTGAGTGTGACTGTGGCTCAAGGATTTATATGGTCAAGGATTTGAGGGGATGTCAGGGAAAAAATGTTCAAGAGGCTTGTGGACAAGGGCATCCTGCTTTGGGGTCTCAGCCCCACATCCTCTTAGCCTTCCAGGCCCCCATCACACCAAGATGGGTGAGGGAGGGAGGCAGGTCCACGACCTGGTGGAACTCTTGCATGAACTCAAGCAACTTGTTTCCTGCCCTAAGCTTCAGTTTCCCCATATGTATGAGGACAGCACTGGCCATTGGACCCTACAAGCCCCTACCATCTTTAAGGTTCTGGCTGAGAGGGGTCTGGAGAGCAGTGACATCTTAAGACTAAGTGGGGGAGGTAAGACTTAGTTTAGTGGGATGTAAGGGCAGGAATTCTCCAACCCACCTTCCAGTGAATAAAATGAGAAACTTATGTCAGAGAGAGACATACCCAAGGTTACACAGGGATAGCAAGGTAGAGCTGCAACCAGGGCTCTGGGATCTGTCCCCTCCACGTCCCTGTTTCAGCTCTGCCCAGTTTGCCCTTCTCTAAACCCCTCATAACTCCCCCAGTCTGGCCCTACCACATGCTGTAGTCCCTGGCCCCACCAGAAACCCATATCCGCTGAATGAATTCTAATCTCTCACAGCTCCAGGCATTGCACATGCTGTTGCCTCAGCCTAGAATGCCTTTTCCCTCCTTGATCCCAGGGCCAGCTCTTATTCATACTGAAGAGGCCCACCACTGGTGCTGCCTCATCAGTTCAGCCTTCCTAGCCTTCAGAAAGAGCCCCCCTGCCCACTGCACTGTTTCTCCAACCCCACAGGCTGGGGACAGCTGTGTCTAGTTCTGGAGGCTCTAGGACAGTCAGGCCTGAGTCCTCTGGGGCTCTCAGCATTGCTGGCCCAGGATGGGCACACAGGGCCTCCTGCAGTAGACCCAACAGGAAACAGCATGGTTCTATCCTTTTGGCTGTCCCTCCTGTGGTCCCTGGAACCAGCCATTGCAAACGCTGCAGCTGCCTCCCCATTTGACTTAGGAGGAAACTGAGGATTATGAAGTGAATAATTTTCCCTAGCCCCCGACATGGGGAAAGGACAGAGATGGGTTCCAAACCCATGTCTCTGTCCATCTCTGGCTTTTGGGGTGTGCATGTGTCAAGCAGAAGGAATGACTGGGCTGCAGCTGCAGGTTCTGGCCTTGGGTGTTAAATCCTCAAGTGGCTTCCATGGATCCATCGAGGATCTGAGACAGCCGGAGACCTGGGACCCAAGACCCCTCCCTCCTCTGGCTTCCCTTCTATGGGGGTGAATTAAGGATTCAGCGAGGGACAGAGACACAGAGAGACAGAGATGAGAGAGACAGAGAAAGATGGAGGGACATGGGGGAGAGACACGGAGTCAAGGCAGATGCCAATGGGGGAGCTGAGGTGCTCACGCCCTGCCAGGAAGACAAGGAGCAAGGGGCATAAATGCAGGGTTCCAGGGGCTCCCCAGCTTACCTGCCCATCCCCCATCTTCCCCCATCCCCCTCCAGCCAGGACCCTGTGGGGACACTGCGTCCAGTCCAGATCCTGAGCCCTGTCGCACCCTGGCCCATCCTCACAAAGCTGGGCCGACACGAGGGGACAGGGCTGACCGGCCCTGCCCTTGCCCCAGGAGCTCCCCCCCCACAAGATGCTGATGTAACACACATGACTGGATATTTTACTCTTAAATTCTGCGAATCCAGCAGCGAGAGGTTCAGAGGCGTTTCATCCTGGAATGAGGTGGGAGACACTGGGTCCTAGTCCTCGAGGCACCCCCTTTCCCTAGGGATTTCACCTCCCTGCCCCCCCCCCCCCCAGCCCAATCCCCACACCTGCAGCCCCGGAACCAGCGCGAAGGCCAGACACCCTGCGGCCGCCACCAGTCCCCGCCCCGGGCCTCCATTGGCTGTTGCCATGGCATCAGCCCGTCTTCCCGCGCCGCCATTGGTCGCCGCGCCTGCATCCTGCATCCAGCATCCTCCCCCGCTCGCGGTGGTCTCGCCCAGCGCCCTGAGTGGCGGCGCCGCCTGCCAGGCCCGCACCGGCCTTTGTCCGCTCCGGAGCCCCTTGCCCGCGCCGCCGAGACCCCGGAACCCTGGAGCCCGCGCCCCGTGGCCGCCCCGGCCTAAGAGCGCTAGGATCTCAAGCGGGGTCTCGGAGCTGCACCAAGGGAGGAGGACACAGGCCCGCGGCGTGTCCGCAAGCCCAGCCCAGCCCAGCCTGAATGAGATAAAGTAAGCGGCGCGCTTTCCTGAGTGAAGGGCAGGGGACTTGGCCTCTGCAGGGTTGTCTCCATCTCCCCCCTCCTCTCTGCCACGAACATTCTGGAGCCTCTGTTTCTCCAGATTGGAGCTGGAGGGGAAACTGAGTCCCAGGGAGGTGGGCTGTAGTCGCTGTAGTCCATCCCACTCAAAATGACACCTGGACCTCCCAGAATCTGCGGGAAGGCCTGCTGTGTGCTTTGGGGGAGGGTGTTTTCTTCTCCCTGGGAGGAGTCTTTTCCTCTCAGTAAAGTGGGGATTTGGATTGAATGAAAGACAAGGGCCCCTTTGGGCCACCCCTGTGCTACCTTCCGCTGAAATCTGGCCATTCGCTCCTTAATTAGAGGAACCTCCAGCTATTGGTGCTTTTCCTTTGGTGATGAAGATGTCTCAGGGAGGCCCCTCCAGAGGTTCCCGGTGCAGCCTGAGGGTCAGGGCAATGCTGGAGGGCTTCCTTGAGAAAGCTACTGTGTGAGGGACAGCAAGTCAGGAAAGGTGCTCCAGGCAGGTGAACTTAATGTGCAAAGGCCTGAAGGAAGAACGTGGACTGCATGTGCAGGAGAGAGGTCTAATGTTGAGGACACTCGGGAGCCATGGCAGCTATTGGAGCAGGGGAGGAATGGTATCTGAGCAGTTACTTCCAGAGCTTCCTTCTGTCTGTGCATGAGGAGCAGACTGTGGGAGGCCAGCAAGGCTGCTGTGATGGGAGGGATGTGGGGAACTAGGGGAGGGAGGGTCCAGCTGGGCAGGGCTTGAGGGGCTGGTGAAAGTATGGAACTGGGGACTCAGGTCAGAATGTGGAGAACACTGTGGAGGCCCTGCTGCCAAGTTCCATCTAATGAGGACATAGAGGCAGGGGGAATGAAGGTATCCCAGGCTGGCCCTGCAAGGGTGGCTTGAGTCGGGGGGTGCTTGAGAAGGTAGTCTGGGTTTGGGGAATGGGAGGAGTATGCAGGGTTTTGTGCTTCACTTAGTGCTTCCCCTGGGCTTGGCACAGCATGGTGGCCTCAGCTAGGGCACAGGTCCCTGGCCAGACCCCAGGGACCTTACCACAACCCCAGGCCTGATACTCAGCTGGGACCCCAACTGAGCCTTGGGAGGGATCAATATTGGGGTAGAAGGCAAAGGCTGTAGTCCCCAAGCAGCTGGCCTCCTCATCCTGATATGCTGTCTCCCTTTCTGACTTGTGACTTGTGTTGTCCCCTCCAACATTTGCGTTTGCTTGGTGACCACTGTTCCTCCTGACCCTTGTATCAGCCCACAAGATGGGACTGGCAGACTGAGTTCCCCTGATTTCTCCGATGGGCAAACTGAGGTCTGCAGAGGGGGTGGGGCTTGTGTGCCTCCAGCATTGCTTGGACTTCTGAGCATGCCCAATGTCTGGGTTCAAGACATGCCTTGTCTGTGCCCCTGGCCTCAGCTCCTCCCTTTAATGGTGGCCCCCAAGACACAGGACTGTGACAAGAAAGCCAAATGACAGAGCCGGGCATTCAGTCGGTTCTCTGAGCCAGTCTGGATGCCCTGACTCATCCTACCACTGGGGCCGAGCCCCCGACCCCTACTCCAGACCCAGCTGCGTCCTCAGTGACTTCAGGGTGAGCAGGGACCTTCTGGGGTAGGAGGAGAGAGAAGAAAATGAATGAGCAAGTGAAGAAAAAGTGTGGCCAGGTAGGGGAGGGAGTCAGGGGAGGGCTGGCTGATTTGGGGAGGGGGTTAAGGTGGGCAGGGAGATGACTCCCAGGAGGAGGTGGCAGAGGGGAAGGGCTGCCATTGGTGAGCCTCAGACAAAGGCGAAGGGAGGGGGAGCGCTGATGTTAAGGGAACAAAGAGGGAAGGTGGGGTGGGCAGGAAGGCTCTGGCAGGAGTGCCAAGCTGAGAGAGGAGGCACTGGCTGGTTAGACAGAGGGAGGAGGCTGGGCCTGAGCGAGAAAGGACAGCCAAACACACAAAGAAGCAGGCGGCTGTGGTAGAGCCCAGGGGACGGGGCCTGGGCCACTGAGGGCCGCAGGGGCTGGCAGAGGGCCGACTGCAGGGCCCCTGAGCTACACAGGTAGCTACCCAGATACAGCTGCTGATGGAGGGGTTGTGAGGGCTGCAGAGCATCCAGGTTCTCAACTCCCAGGGCAACCATGGGGGGCTTGGGTTGGGCTGGGGCTCTACTGTCAGCCTGTCCATTGGCTTCTTAGAACATTCACGACATTCTTTTTGTCCATCAATTGGGCCAGCTGGTAGCCTGTCCACCCAGCCTCTGGGCAGCCACAGTGCTGCAGGGATATGTCTTGATTGTCCATCTGTCTGTCTGTCCCTGGCTGTGTGTCTGTGAGCCTGGTGGCACTAGGCAAGCCAGTCCTTCTGCTGGGTTAGACTGTTAGGGTCTCAGCTCTCAGTCTCTGACTGTCTGGCTATCTGTAAGCATGTGTGTCTGGGAGCCCAGGTGTGAGTTTGGAAATCTATCTGTGTCTGTCAGTCAGTCGGGCGTTTGGGTTGTCCATGTGTCTTAACACCAGTGTGATGGCTCTGCCTTTCTCTCTCCCATTGTTCCTGCCTGTGTCTGTCACTCCATCTGCTACAACCATCTGTCCCTGGGATTCCCTGGGCCAGCACCATCCTGCCTGCAGTGGTCCACACCAGCCTCTCCAGCCTGGGACCCAGCTCCAGGGTTGGGCGGGAGGGCTAGGGCTTAGGTCCAGGGCTGCCTTCTCCTCAGAGTCTCATGGGACCTATGACTGCAGGCACTGCAAGAGCTGAAGATGACAAGCTCTGTGGCATCCTATGAGCAGCTGGTACGGCAGGTGGAGGCCTTGAAGGCCGAGAACAATCACCTGAGACAGGAGCTTCGAGACAACTCAAGCCACCTGTCTAAGCTGGAGACAGAGACATCTGGCATGAAGGTCCTGCCAGGGGTGGGAGGCTGGGCAGAGGACATGGGCTTGGGTCACAGGGATAAATACCAGGGCATTGGGCCCCCAGAGATTGGTAGGCAGGGCCAAGGGCATGTCACAGGGAAGTGGTTCTGGGGCAGCGGAGGGCAGCAGCCTTGATAACCAGCGCACTCTCTTGCCCCCGCCTCCAGGAGGTCCTGAAGCACTTACAATGCAAGCTAGAGCAGGAGGCCCGCGTGCTGGTGTCCTCAGGGCAGACTGAGGTACTGGAGCAGCTGAAAGGTGAGGGGCTGGCCTGAGAACCCTCTCTGCATACCAGGGTGACCCCCATCCATCCCCAGAGGGAGCTGGGAGGACAGGCAGGCAGGGGTACTGACCCTCCTTTCGTACCCATTCAGCCCTGCAGATGGACATCACCAGCCTGTACAACCTGAAGTTCCAGCCCCCCGCCCTGGGCCCTGAGCCTGCTGCCCGCACCCCTGAGGGAAGCCCAGTACATGGCTCCGGGACCTGCAAGGATAGCTTTGGGGAGTTGAGCCGGGCCACCATCCGGCTGCTGGAGGAACTGGACAGGGAACGGTGAGACTACAGGGAACTGATCGCAGGCAGCTCATGTAGCCCTGCCCCCAAGCCTGACACCACCCCAGCAGTCTCTGCCCTTTGATTGGCCCTCCAGCCTGTGTGCCAGTCCCACCCACCTCTTGAGCCACCACCTCTTTGGTTCCTCCACCCCCTTCCTGGCAAAACTGACCTCAGCTGGACGACAGAGAGAAGGAGGCGTTCCTGCCACAGGGGAGGGCTCCTAGGAGATGTCCCCAGAGGTCCCCAACACCCAGTCATCAGCAGGGACAGGGCTGTGTCCGGTGCCAGGGCTCAGAATTGGGCCTGGAGCCAGAGGGGCTTAAGGCAGCCTTTGTGGAGAGATGGCTGCAGCCCAAGAAACCTGGGTCAGGGGCCAGCAGAGGGATGCAGGGTCCAGGCTCTCTGCTCAGCTTGCTGGGTTGTGTGGGGTCAGAGAGACTGAAGGCCCGTGCTCTGCTGCTGTGTAACCTCAAGCAAGTCCTCTAGCCCCGCCCAGCCTCAGACTTACACTCTGTAAAATGTGTGGGAATAGCAGTGTCTCCCCTGCAGCATGTTAAGAGGGAGACTCTGTTGCAACTGGAGCAATCTGAGCCTGAAGCCTCCCTTTGTAGGCTGGAGGGAGATTAGCGAGTGTGGGATAGGTGTTAGAGTCAGAACAGCCCTTCTCAGGGTCCTTCTCCAAGGCCCAGAGTTTAACAAGGAACTACTTTCTCTTTTTAAATAACTTTCTGTGCCCCACCCACTCACCCTAGTGCTGGGGAGTATGAAGGGCAAGACTTTGCAATGCTGCCTATTAAACTTGTCATACACTAAGCACCCAACAAGCGATTGCAAAAATGAAAATAAACCACCTGTATTAATGGCTCCTTCTCCGCGGGCTGAGCCCACCTACCTGCCCTCCCCCAGGTGTTTCCTGTTGAATGAAATTGAGAAGGAAGAAAAGGAGAAGCTCTGGTACTACTCGCAGCTGCAGGGCCTGTCCAAACGCCTGGATGAGCTCCCGCATGTGGAGACTGTGAGCGCGGGGAGGGCGTGGGCGTCGAGGGGTGGTGCTGCGGGTCGGCCCGCCCCTGGCCCCTGACTACCGCAGTCCCTCACCGCGACCTGCCCGCCCCTCCCAGCAGTTCTCCATGCAGATGGACCTGATCCGGCAGCAGCTGGAGTTCGAATCCCAGCACATCCGCTCGCTGATGGAGGAACGATTTGGCACCTCTGACGAGATGGTGCAGCGGGCACAGGTGCGGCGGTGGGTGGGGCCGAGGCAGGCAAGCCACGCACAGTATGCGAATTGGAGCGCAGTGGTAGTTGTAGGAAGAGTCTGGATCAGGGGACTGAGTTATTTGTCTTTGGTGTAATCAGAGGGCAGAGACTGCTGTGGGCGGGGTCTGGCTCAGGAGGCGGAGCCAGAGTCTGGAGCTGTTTGTGGGTGCGGCCAGAGGGCCTTAAGGGCAGAGCCAGGCTCAGAGGCAGAGAACACTGAGGCCAGGGCAAACAGTGGGTGATTTGGTCAGTGGGCAGAGCCATGTCAGGGAGCGAGTGGGTCTAGGAGGTTGAGTCTAAATGGGAATCGGACCAAATAAAGGAGTAGGAGGGTCTAGAGTGGGGACTAAATAGGGGGCGGGGCTAGGAAAATGGAGCAGGCTCTAGACAGCGAGTAAGTACCGCATCATGGAGTAGGGGGAGTCAGAACCTGGGGAGGGGGGCGTTGTACCAAGGGTGGGGCCAGGATGTGGGTGGAGTTAAACATCAGTGTACAGTTTAGAGTGGGTGGGCCATTTCAAGGGTGGGTTTGGAGAGTGGGTACCGCCATACCATAAAGTAGGGGTGGGGTTCAAATAGTGAGCAGGGCCATACCAAAGAGTGGGTGAAGTCAGGTGGGTGGGTGAGCAGTATAGTGGGCAGGGCCGTATCAGGGAGCAGACTGGGCCAAAGCAGGGAGGGGTCTTGTGCTTTTCTCCCACGTAGATCCGCGCTTCACGCCTGGAGCAGATCGACAAGGAGCTGCTGTCTGCACAGGACCGGGTGCAGCAGACGGAGCCCCAGGTACTGGGAGAGGCAGATTCAGTGCCCTTGAGGGAGGTGATGATCTTAGGCGAGGAGGGGACCCTGAGAGCCCCACCCAGAGTGTAGAAATAGGTGGAGCCTCCACCACATCATCATAGGACTGAGGCCAGCATCACCACCTTGGTGCTTTGTGGGATGCTCCTATAAACTCCAGCACTGGTGTTCTTTCCACAGGCCCTGCTGGCAGTAAAGTCAGTGCCAGTGGATGAAGACCCTGAGACTAAGATCCCCATGCACCCTGAGGATAGTGCCCCTCAGCCAGGCAATAGCAAGGTGAGGCAGCGTACAGTGGTGGGGCACTGAGAGTCAGGGTGGGGAGTGGATAGCCAGCTGGATTGGGGTGTGGTGAGGCTGGTGGGGCCAGCATGGGGTCTGGGGCCTGGCAATGTGAGCAGAGATACCTGTCCTACGTGTCTAGGAGGGCACTCTAGACTTAGATGTAAGGCTATCCCTAGGAGTACCTGGTGACACCAGTGGAGCGGGCATTTGGCCCTCGTGGGCTGGGAGCATCTCCAGTGACTGAGGCTCCCCATCCGTCTCCCCAGGTGTGTGTGGTGGCCCCTGGGGGGTGCAAGGTGAGGGTGGTGGTGGTGAGGAAGTGGTTCTGCTAGGCTGGGGTCACAGAACTCCTATCATGTTTAGGGTGAGTCACCCCAAGTAGGGGGCCACCCCTGACTGGGGAGGGTGGTGGTCTGGCTGAGGCCAGGCAAACCGAGTGGTGCTCCCCATACTGACTTCATCCCTGTCTGCCCCCACAGGTGGAAGTGGTCTTTTGGCTACTGTCAATGCTGGCAACGCGGGACCAGGAGGACACAGCTCGCACATTGCTCGCCATGTCCAGCTCTCCTGAGAGCTGTGTGGCCATGCGCCGCTCAGGCTGCCTGCCACTGCTGTTGCAGATCCTTCATGGCACAGAGGCTGGGGCTGGGGGTCGAAATGGGGCCTCCGGAGCACCTGGAGCCAAGGATGCACGCATGCATGCCAATGCAGCGCTACACAACATCATCTTCTCCCAGCCAGACCAGGGACTGGCACGCAAGGAGATGCGTGTCCTGCACGTGCTGGAGCAGATCCGTGCCTACTGTGAGACCTGCTGGGACTGGCTGCAGGCCCAGGACGGCGAGTCCGAGGGAAGCAGGGTGGGCCAAGGTGAGTGGGCAGCCTCCCTGACCATATTTGCACAATGGGTACAGAGCGTGGGTGACAGGACATTATCATTAACTATTACTAGTGCTAAAGGTACTGTTATAGTCTTTTCTGTGCACCTTGTCTGTGCCATGTGCAGGTTGAGGTCTTATGGTGACTTTGTCATGACAGAATGACAAAAGGACAGCCACCTGCAATGCATGCCCTGGTTGTAGGGTAGCTCAAGAAACAGTTATTAAATGCATGGATGGATTGTGGGTAACGAGAAACATGGGTGCAGACTTTGAGATTCCTAGTTTTGGCAGTTGATTGCAAAGTTAATCTTCGACAAAAGCACCACCAAAAGTTACTGAGCCCCCAGCACGACTTCATCTCCCATGTCAGCTCTGGGTGAGGCAGGCACCTTGTTATTCATTTTAGGAAGGGTTGGAAAAGGAGGCCAGTGAAAGGAAGTGACCTTTCAGGTGCAAAGTGTGCATGCAGAGGTGTGCAGAACTCTGGGGTCTTGTAGGTTGGAGTAGACAGGGAGAGGTGGGACCCAACAGGGATCATTTCAAAGACTGAGAGGGCTCTGACCTGGCTTCTTGGCCCACAGCCCCAGTCCCCATTGAGCCTCAGATCTGCCAGGCCACCTGTGCAGTGATGAAGCTGTCCTTTGATGAGGAATACCGCCGCGCCATGAATGAGCTGGGTGAGTGCACCCCTTGCCTCCTCCATACCCACCCATTTGGCCTGAGGCTTCTGGGCCTCATTAAGCCTGGGGCAGCCTTTCATCCTTAATGGCCATGGGGCTCAGAGGACAGGGAAGTGACCAGGAAGCCAAGAGCAAAGGTGAGAGGTCCAACTTAATATACAGAATCAGAGCTACCAAGTGGCTGGGGAGGGGGTGACTTTGTAAAGTTCTAGATTTGGAAGCATTACTACATCTCTTATAGTAGTTGAAACATGGGGGACATTCCATCAACATGCTTAATTTTACTCCAGTTAATACAAAATGAGATACTGCTTCTCACCCAGCAGATGGTCAAACACTCAAAGGTTTGGTCAGATTTCCTCTTGTCTGGCTGTGCAGAAGTGGGCATTTGTAACCCTAACAAGGCAGCAGACTTAGGAAAGTGTATATTTTTTAAGTCATTCCTTTCCCGGCTGGGGAACTTATCTTCTGGGTGGATTTATGTAGGAAGATGCAGAAAAACGAGGAAGGCTGCAACCAACCCAAATAAAACTCTAGATCTGGAAACCACACAAGTGTCTAACAGCCCCAGACCCTAAATGCACAGATGACCTCTGTTGTCTTTGCTCAGTGAAGGGGGAAGGGTGCTTTCTATTTGAGTTGTGGGTTCTTTCTCTTCTACTCACCCTGACCATTTCCCCCATATTTGTTTACTCTTTGTAAAGCAAAAACCTAGTTTTCGTGGTGAGTAAAGAACTGTGTCTGTGGCATTAATCAGTAGCTACTGAACACCTGCTGGACAGGCCCTGCCCCTGGGACCCGGCCCTGCCTTCAGAAGCTCAAGGTCTAATGGTCTTGGGGTGGTTCTCATTTGGGGTAATTGAGGGCCTTCTTGACCTGGGAGCAGAAGGAAGCCAGGATCCTGAGCAAATAGCAGAGAAAAGCATTCCAGGCAGAAGGAACAGCACATGCAAAGGCCTCATAGCCAGAAGAAATGTGAATGAGGTGGAGGGCTGAAAGGAGGCAGGCGTGGAGGTCATAGGGTATCCAGGGAATCATGCTAGCCTGGCAGCAGGCTACCTAGAAGAGGTGTCCTTGGAGTTGGGCTTTGAAGGTGGATTTGAGGAGAGCAGATCTCAGGGTAGGATGGGGGGAGGGCACCTAAGCAGGGGGATGGCATGGACAGAGCCTGGGAGGAAGGCTCTGGGATGCACCCCTGCTGCACCCAGCCTCGCTGTGCCCCCTCCTGTGTTCCTTTAGGCGGGCTGCAGGCTGTGGCAGAGCTCCTGCAGGTGGACTATGAGATGTACAAGATGACCCGGGACCCACTCAACCTTGCCCTGCGCAGATATGCTGGCATGACTCTCACGAACCTCACCTTTGGGGACGTCGCCAATAAGGTGCCTGGGGTGGGCAGGTGGTGTCAACACTCTTTCCACCCTCTTCTGAGGCTCCACACTGGCCCAAGAGGTGGAAATAGTTGTCCCCAATTTATAGGCGGGTAGTCTGAGGCCCAGAGAGGGCTGTGAGAGGAGGGGCTATGGCTGGAGTTGGTCAGCTAGACCACCACCTGCTCTGTTGCTCTGCTGCAGAGTGGGGCCTCTGGGCCAGGGAAGGCTTGGTGGTGTCTGCGCCTGTCTCAGCCTCAATTTCCTTATCTAAGCAACAGGGTGACTGCTATCCCTTTGCCATGGTGGTGAGGATGGGGTGCTGGGGCTCAGGGAGAAAGCCCAAAGGGGAACATGGTGTACTGCCCCACTGACCATGGCGTGCATATCCTGTGGCACCCCACAGGCCACACTGTGTGCCCGGCGGGGCAGCATGGAGGCCATCGTGGCCCAGCTGGCTTCAGAGAGTGAGGATCTCCAGCAGGTACCTGGATGGAGTGGGGTGGGGCATGGGGAGACCCCCACAGGGCGTCCCACTGCCCAGGGCCCCTGCCAACAGAGTCCCCTCCCCCGTGGATGTGATAGTGACCGTCTCCGGTCTCTCTGTAACCCTGCCATGTGTGAGGTTGAGGGTGGGCGGGCCCTGGGTCCACCTTGCCTGCCCTGTGCCTTGCCCCAGGTGGTGTCTAGCATCTTGCGCAACCTGTCCTGGAGGGCTGACATCAACAGCAAGAAGGTACTGAGGGAGGTCGGCAGCATGACCGCCCTGATGCAGTGTGTCCTACGAGCCTCCAAGGTGGGTACTGGGTGGGTACAGTGCGGCAGGGAGGTGTAAATGCACTCGAGACCCAGGGGAGAGGGTGCTGGTAAGGCTGTTTAATGCCAGACACAGGGCAAGGAGACACAACAGGTGGTGAGTTCTCCATCTTGAGGAAATTAAACCAAACAACCATTGCTTAGCTCAGCAGGTGGTCCTCAGGCAGGCCTGGGACTTCCAACTCTGCAACTCAGAGTTCCTGTGAGGGTCAGTTTTATTTATTTATTTTTTTACTTTTATTTGAAAATGTATTTGGGTGCCTTTCCTTCCAGCCTTTTGTCTCCACCTTGATGGACAGGGTAAGTGGGTAGGGCCGGTACCTGGAGACCCCCTCCACTGACCTTCCTGCATCCCACCCCGTGCCTAGGAATCCACCCTGAAAAGTGTGCTCAGTGCTCTGTGGAACCTCTCGGCACACAGCACAGAGAACAAAGCAGCCATCTGCCAGGTGGATGGTGCCCTGGGCTTCCTGGTGAGCACACTGACTTACAAGTGCCAGAGCAACTCACTGGCCATCATCGAGAGCGGCGGGGGCATCCTGCGCAACGTGTCCAGCCTCATCGCCACCCGTGAGGACTATAGGTGGGCCCCACAGTCACAGTGGGTGGAGGGTGCCATGGAGGGTGCTGGGGGAATGTGGATCCCCAGATGTGATCTGGGGCTGGAGTAGCAGAACCCAGTCTGCAGGGAACTATCACTCAGGCAGCCTTGGTTTGACCTCCTGCAAGTGGATGTCCTCAGGGACTAATTTTTTCAGTATAAGTATTCCCAAATATTGCATGAGATATACTTTGCTAAAGATTTCATTTATTAAAATAAGTAAAACATTTATATATTAAATAATACTAATTTACAAATGATACGTAATATTTTTAAAAGCAAATAAAATTTATCTACAGTATGTCTATCCTAAACATCATGAGATATTGTGCTAAAATGAGATATACTTTTACTTTGAAAGGTAAGTATTTTAATTTATTATCAGTATTATTTAATAAATATATTATTACTTTTAAGTAAAATAACTAGCACAAGTATACCCCAAATTCAATATTTGGGATAGACTTACACTACATATTTATTCCTTTCTCTGAGATTTGAACTCAGCCAAGTGCCTTCTATTTTTATTTGCTTAATCTGGCCCCCCTGCTCCTGGTAAGATGAGGGGTGGCTCTGTCTGACACGCCCCTCCATGCTGCAGGCAGGTGTTGCGGGACCACAACTGTCTGCAGACGCTGCTGCAGCACCTGACATCGCACAGCCTGACCATTGTGAGCAATGCCTGTGGCACGCTCTGGAACCTGTCTGCCCGCAGTCCACGTGACCAGGAGCTGCTGTGGGACCTGGGCGCTGTGGCCATGCTACGGAATCTCGTGCACTCCAAGCACAAAATGATTGCCATGGGTAGCGCTGCTGCCCTGCGCAACTTGCTGGCCCACCGGCCTGCCAAGTACCAGGCAGCGGCCACTGCCATCTCCCCTAGCGCCTGTGTGCCCAGCCTGTATGTGCGTAAGCAGCGGGCCCTGGAGGCTGAACTGGACGCGCGGCACCTGGCCCAGGCGCTTGACCACCTGGAGAAGCAGGACCTGCCTGAGGCTGAGGCCGAGGCCGCCTCCAAGAAGCCACTGCCGCCCCTGCGGCACCTGGATGGGCTGGCCCAGGACTATGCCTCAGACTCAGGCTGCTTCGACGATGATGACGTGCCCTCCCTGGCCGCCGTGGCTGCCACCGCTGAGCCTGCCAGCCCCACTGTGCTGTCCCTTTTTCTGGGCAGCTCCTTCCTGCAAGGCCAAGCACTGGCCCGGGCCCCACCTGCCCACCGCAGTGGCCCAGAGGTAGAGAAGGAGGCCAGTGGGGAGGCAGCTTTGGCAGCCAGGGCCAAGGCCAAGCTGGCACTGGCAGTGGCACGGATTGACCGGCTGGTAGAGGATATCTCAGCCCTGCACACATCATCTGATGACAGCTTCAGCCTCAGTTCTGGGGACCCTGGGCAGGAAGTACCAAGGGAGGGCCGAGCCCAGTCCTACTCTCCTTGCTGGGGGCCTGAGGGCGGGCAGCGGGAGGCTGGCAGCCGGGCTCATCCCCTTCTGCGACTGAAGGCAGCCCATGCCAGCCTTTCCAATGACAGCCTTAATAGTGGCAGCACCAGTGATGGGCACTGTCCCCGTGACCACACGCGGCCTTTGGCGTCACTGGCCGAGCACCGAGAGGGGCCGCCGTGTGGTCAGGTGCGGCCCAGCCAGCTTGACCTCAACCTGCTGGATGGCCAGGCTAAGCCAGCAGCCCGGGAGGCTGCAGCCACTGATGCATGTGTGCGCACCATCAAGCTGTCACCCACCTACCAGCATGTGCCACTGCTCGAGGACACAACCAAGGCTGGTGTGGGGCTCCTGGTCCCTGGGAGCAGGAAGCAGGCCTGGCTGCCTGCAGAGGGTGTGAGCAAAGTGGCCGAGAAGCTGGTGGTGGAGGCGGCACCACTCTGCCTGTCCCGTTGTAGCTCCCTGTCCTCACTGTCCTCGGCTGGCCGCCCAGGCCCCAGCGAGGCAGGGGACCTGAATGACAGTGACTCATCCCTGGAGGGGCTGGAGGAGGCTAGTCCCAGTGAGGCAGAGCTGGATCGGGCCTGGCATGGGCCAGGGGATACCTCCCTGCCCATGGCTATTCCTGCACCCCCTCCAGGCCGAAGCCTAGGGGTGGAGGACGCCACACCGTCTAGCTCCTCAGAAAACTGCGTGCAGGAGACACCACTGGTGCTGAGCCGCTGCAGCTCGGTGAGCTCACTGGGAAGCTTCGAGAGCCCGTCCATTGCCAGTTCCATCCCCAGTGACCCCTGCAGCGGGCTGGGCAGTGGCACAGTTAGCCCCAGCGAGCTGCCTGACAGCCCTGGGCAGACCATGCCACCAAGCCGCAGCAAGACACCACCAACGGCCCCTGCACCTCCTGGTGAACGTGAGGCCACCCAGTTCAGCCTGCAGTGGGAAAGTTACGTGAAGCGTTTCCTGGACATTGCCGACTGCCGGGAGCGTTGCTGGCTGCCCTCCGAGCTGGACGCTGGCAGTGTGCGTTTCACTGTAGAAAAGCCGGATGAAAATTTCTCATGTGCCTCCAGCCTCAGCGCACTGGCCCTGCACGAGCACTATGTTCAGAAGGATGTTGAGCTGCGGCTGCTGCCCCCCGCCTGTCCTGATCTTGGCAGTGGCAGTGGCGGTGGCCCTGGCCAGCACTTTGCTGGGCACCGCCGGCGAGATGAAGCCAATGGTCGTGAGGGGCCACCTGCCACCAATCAGGAGCTGGAGCTGCTGCGGGATTGCCTGGGCACAGCCATGCCTACTCGACTCTGCAAGGTGGCCTCAGCACTGGTGCCTGGCCGCTGCGCACTGCCTGTGCCTGTCTACATGCTGGTGCCCGCCCCGGTCCGGGAGGACAACTCATACACTGACTTGGCCGAGGGCACGCCAGTCAACTTCAGTGTGGCCTCACTCAGCGACGAGACACTGCAAGGATCTCCCAAGGAGTTGCCTGGTGGGCGTGGGGATAGGCAGAAGCCAGCAGGCCGAGAGGCTCCTACCAGGCAGGCTGCTGGGCATCGGCACAGGGTTAGGGGTGTGGGCCGCAGCACGGAGCCAGCCCGGGTGACGGGCAGGAGGCGGGCAGGGCTGGAGCTGCCCCTTAGAAGGCCCCTGAGAGCTTGTGTAGACAGAGACAGCCCCCAAGCAGGCCGAGCCCATGGGGAGGGGACACTACAGTCCCTGTGCCTTACCACACCCACTGAGGAAACTGTGTACTGCTTCTACAGCAATGGCTCGGATGAGGAGCCGTCCACAGCAGCGGTGGTGGCACCCTCCCTGTGGGAATCTGCTATTCCCCAGGCAGTGAAGAGGGAGCGCCTGGCTGGCAGGAAGAAAACACAGGCGGTGCCCAAGGCCACAGTGCCTGCCCGGGCCCAGCCCAGCCTCATCGCTGATGAGACACCACCATGCTACTCCCTAAGTTCCTCCACCAGCTCCCTCAGTGAGCCTGAGCCCGAGACTGGCAGGATCCAAGCCCGTGAGCCAGTGGTCACCAAGGACCCAGGCCTTGGAGGCAGGAATGATGGCCATCCCAGTCCTCGGGCCAAGGTGGAGCTACTGCGGCGCTGCATTGGCTCAGCCATGCCTAGGCGCAGGCCACAGGCATCAGATCCAAAGTGCCGCAAGCCCCGCGATGCCCAGCTGGAAGAACGGCCAGCAGAGGGGACCCAGGAACATGGCGAGGAGGCAGCGGGGTCAGACCATGCCTCAGACCTGGACAGTGTCGAGTGGCGCGCCATCCAAGAGGGTGCCAACTCCATTGTCACCTGGCTGCACCAGGCGGCAGTGGCAGACACCCAAGAGGTCTCATCTGAGTCTGACTCTATCCTGTCCTTTGTGTCAGGGCTGTCTGTGGGCTCTACCCTGCAGCCCTCCCTGCACAGAAAAGGACGGCGACCATGGGCAGAGGGACAGGTAAGCAGTGCCACTCGACCAGAGAAACGGGATATGACTCTGGCCCAGCGCAGCAGCAGCCCCTGCTTGCCCTGCGGCCCGGAGAAGCTGCGTGGTGCTCAGAAGACCACATCTGGGGTACCAGCCATGCTCCGAGGAAGGACAGTGATATATGTGCCCAGCCCGGCCAGCCGGGCCCAGCCCAAAGGCACCACTGGCCCCCGCACCGCACAGAGGAAAATAGGACCCCAGAGCCCCGCACAGCCAGCAGCTCCCACCAAAGCCCTGGGCCCTGGGCAGCAGCGGTCTAGGAGCCTGCACAGGCCCGGCAAGATCTCAGAGCTTGCTGCCCTGACCCCCCCGCAGAGGAGCGCCACACCACCAGCCCGCCTCACCAAGACTCCTTCATCCAGCTCCTCCCAGACCTCCCCTGCCTCCCAGCCCTTGCCTCGGAGGTCGCTCCCAGCTTCCCAAGCTTCTGGGTCTCTCCCCAGCCCCGGGGCCTCACGAGTGCCCAAGACACCCATGCGGACCCTCCTGGCCAAGCAGCACAAAACGCAGAAGTCGCCCGTGCGGATCCCCTTCATGCAGAAGCCCACCAGGCGGGGACCACCACCCCTGGCCAGGCCAACCCCGGAGCCAGGCCCCAGGGGTCAGGTGGGGCCCAAGGGGTGCCCGAGTGCCCGAGGGGGCCGTCTGGGTCTGGTGCGCATGGCCTCAGCCCGATCCAGTGGTAGCGAGTCCTCCAACTGTTCGGGTTTCCGAAGGCAGCTGACCTTCATCAAGGAATCGCCAGGCCTACTGCACCGACGCCATTTAGAACAACTGTCCTCTGCTGAAGTCACCACCTCTGCTTCCCAGGGCAGCTCACCCCGCCGCAGCCGGCCCACACCGCCCACTGTCTTCCTCTGCTCCTCCCGCTGCAAGGAGCTGCGGGCACCCCCACCACAGGCCCTGGTCCCCCAGCGGCCCCTTGCAGCTCGGCCAAGCCCTACTGAGCGGCCACCGAGGCGCACTAGCTCCGAGAGCCCATCTCGTCTGCCCATCCGCAAGCAGGCCACCCAGCCAGAGGCAGTCAAGCGCTATGCCTCTCTGCCCCATATCAGCATGGCCCGAAGGCCAGAGGGTGCTGCCCCTGGTCCTGAAGCTGATGCTGCCCACCAAAGCAGCAACGGAGAGGCCCGACCTCTGCCCAGGGTGGCATCGCCAGGTACCACGTGGCGTCGCATCCGGGATGAGGATGTGCCACATATCCTGCGGAGCACACTACCTGCCACCGCCCTTCCGCTCATAGGCACCTCGCCCGAGGAGCACCCAGGTGGTCCCCCGCAGCGCAAGACCAGCGATGCTGTGGTCCAGACGGAGGACTTCTCTACCACCAAGACCAACTCCAGCACGTCCCCAAGCCTGGAGAGCAGGGAGCACCCCCAGGCCCTGGCTTGCAGACCCGCATCCTTCCTCAGCAGCGATGTGGATAGGCCTGGCCCTGCCAAGGGGCCCACTTTGGCCCCCTTCATCCATGAGGGCCTGGGGGTGGCTGCGGGAGGCTTTGCTGCCAGCCGGCATGGCTCTCCCAGCCGCTCGGCTCGAGTACCCCCCTTCAACTATGTACCCAGTCCCATGGTGGTGGCGACCACTGACTCAGCAGTAGAAAAAGCCCCTGCACCCACTGACCTCCTAGAATAGTTGCCTGGACCAGTCTTCTGGAACATCCCCTCTGGCAGGCCATCTGGTTGCCCTGAAGGTGGTCCTAGGAACCGCCTGCTCACCTGAGCCCCCACCGTCAGAGCCGCACCTCAGCCCACATGGGTCTCACATCTCACGCTTGCTTCTGTACTGTGGGGACTTAAGAAGGAATGGGCTGCTGTCTGGACTTCAAGTCCTGGCCTGGCCCACGTACAGAAACCACCCTCCCAGCCCCCAGCCCCACTGGGCCTAAGCCTCAGCAGGACCCTCATCTCTGGGGAGCCAAGCAAGGTTACAGTATTCCCCTGAGGTGGGGGATGGGGCTGCGGAGGGTAGTGCCATCCAGCACCTGCCAGCTGAGCCCAAGGCATCCACTGAAGAACAAAGCCCATAATTATGGGGGCAGCTGAGTAATTTGTTAATGGTAACTGCTGGTTTGTTTGCCTTCTCAGCCCCAGCTGAGGGAGGGGTGCGGCTGAACCCAACAGTGAGACAGGCCTCCCCCTCTACCCACCCTCCCTGCCGTTAGGCACCAAGCCAGGGGCTGATGGACAGAGAAGGCGTTGTCAAAACAGCCTGGAAAGGAGCAAGAAGAGAAGGGCAAAAGACTGGGCTGGGTGATGCCGGGCCACCCCATGTCCCCACTCTGGGCTGGGGTGGGTGTTGGTTTCAAGTAGAGGAGGAAGAGGGGTCCAGGGAGGTGGGTGGAGTCAGAACCAGCTGTGGTGGGTGAGGTGAAGTCGGGGAGGAGGATGAGAATGATGGACAAATCCAATTCACCTTGGTGGCACAAAAAACCCTGGAGCTATGGGAGGGCACAGCTGTGGGGACTGCGGTGGAGCTGGCACCTGGCCTTGGCAATGTGGGGCCTGGAGCCCCAGGACTGTAGCCAGGCCACCTGGAAGTGCGGGGGCCAGGGCTTCCAGAGTGCTAGAATGTTGGTGGCAGAGGAGGCTCAGATGGAGGGGCACAGGGAGCCTGGTGGGCTTACCCAGGCCCCTGCCAGCGTGCATGCATGCAAGGGAGATTGCTGAGGTTCCTGCTCAGCTTGCAGCAGACAGAGCAAATGACCCCTTTCCCGGGGAAGCCTGGCTCTGGGAAGGAGCAGCTCGCAGGCTTGTGGATCTGCTGTCACAGCCACAGTGCAGAGAGCTGCCTGGGAGGGGCCAGAGAGCAGATGCCATTTGGGGAGATTTGTAACAACTAGACTTTAGGTCCCTTCTCTAGGAGGTGGGAAGCATGGTTGAGAGTTGGATGGAAGTGCAGAAGGAGCCTCTGTCCCTGCCCGTAGGGACCATTATCCATTCCTGTCCCCTGTCCATGGAAGGAGCTGACCCAGAAGCAGAAGTACTTCCTCCACTGGACTGTCCTCAGCTCCAGGGGCCCCACTGATCCCAGCCCCCACAGACACCATGCTGCTGCTGCTGCTAACATAGCTCTGTCATGTTGTATTACAAGTCCTGGAACATCCTGTCCTGAAGAACAGGTGCCAGGGCTCTGCCCCAGGAGGCCAGAGGCAGGATGCAGAAATGGCTGGATGCACAAAGTGCTCCTCCTGTGACCAAACTTCCCAGGATGAGCTGGCACACAGTGGACCATGGCAATGAGGGCCGGGCAGCGTGTTGCACACACCCACAACTGACCCCTCAGGACACACTGGGGCAGGGGTTGTCTCAGACGCATCTCAGAAACCACCAGTCCTTGTCCCCATCCCTAGCCTGAAGGAGCAGGACTAGGTGGTCTCAACTCTTTGAAGTGCAGGGGCTGTCAGATGTATGCTCTTACACTTGCCATGGGCCAGCTGCCCCTCAAAATGGCCTGGTGGGAGAAGCCTTGCAGACCTATACCCAGCTTGCCCAGCCATAGTGAGTCTGAAATGGTGGGGACTGGGGGTGGGAGCACCCATGCACTGTGAGACCCTGGGTGGTGCTCTCAACACTCTGTATCTCGGTTTCCCCATGTGGGTCATGAGGAGAACTCCCAGAGCTACCTCTAGAGCCTGAGTGGCTGCTGTGACTGGGTGAGATGCCCAGACCCTCCCTGGCCGCCCCCTCCACCTGCCCCTGTCCTCACAAGGGGGCAGCTCCCACCTCGGCTAGCATGCAGGGAGCTCATGCTCCACCCATGTCCTGCAGCCACACTTGCCTTCTCTGTTCCCATGATGGGGGCACAGCCACACCTCACAACCATATGGGGCGGGACGGTGGGGGTCCTAGGCCCTGAGAAGAGTGGTGGTTACTGGGCAACTGATGTGAAGACTCAGCTGGAGGACTAAAGTCTTAGGACCCAAAGGACATCTCCTGTGAAGCCTTGATCCCCTCAGGGCTGTTTGGCCACCTGGCCATACTGAGGGGACCCTGTTTGCCTCTAGAACACCCTCAGCCCGTGACCTTGGGAAACCATGAGCTGAGTGCTGAATTGAGGCAACGTCCTGAAAGTATAGCATTACCTCACTCCCTGTGCCCCAGTCTGTCACCTGGCCAGCGGCCACAACAACTCAGCCCGAACCTGATTGTTTTGGTCTATCCATCTCTGTGCCCCTTGAGTCTATGCCGTGGGTCCCTGAAGTGTTACAGAATATATGTAAATAAATACAGCCCTGTTCCCCCCTCCCACCCTATTCAACCTAAAGCCATTGTCTGGTAGAAGGAAGGCACAGAACCAGGCATCTTATGTGCACCTTTAATAAATGGAGCTGTTGAATCTTGCTCTACATGGCCCTCCTTCCAAATGGGTAAGGACAGGGTGGGACTGGAGTACTGTGTGGGTTTTCCATCCGACTGCCTGCATTGGGTCCGTGTGCTAGAGGCAGATTGGGCTGTGGGACTTGCGCAGGGAGGACACTTAGACCAGGTGGATATGCAGGCAAAGGTAGCTGGAATGTTTCCTCCTGATCCTGGGTGGGGTGGGAGCGTTCAGGAGCCCCAGAATCAGACTCAGGTAGCCCCACCTGGAGGTCAGGGATGTGCAGGGAGCGGTGACCTCCCAGTTCAGGGCAGCAGGGCACCTCTGAGATATTAGCAGGTGGGCCAGGGGGACCCGGACAATGAAGCCTCAGTGTCCACTGCCCTAACTGGAGCCAAGCCGGCATTTTCAGGTCTCAGGGGTCTCTCAGGCTTAAGCAGGCACCCTTTTCTCCAAGGAGAGAAAAACACCTCCTGGGATACTGGGTCACCCATGTCAAGGACTTGCCTTGTTGAGTCCAGGTGCTTCCCTAAGCTCCCAGGGAACCCTGGAAAGGAGCAGCTTAGAGGCACTGCCAGATGGCTGATGGCAGGGCAGATTTCATCTGGGGGACTTGGTAGGGATACCCATGACGGGCCTGGCCTGCCAGGATGGAAATGGTCAGATGAGGGCTTCAAGCAAGTAACCAAACAGCTTGTTCTGTATTGGGAGCCCAGGCCAGCACCCCCATCTGATGGATCCCACAGCCTACAGGCCAGTCCTGCATCCCAACCATGAACCAGAAGGATAAGTGCTGCCTTGGGGGAGAGCCCCCACCTTATATCTGAGCGCTTGGGGCCACTGGAGGCCCCATCTCAGATCTGGGCCCTGCTGGGCAATTGCTCCTCACATGGCCATGGCCACAGCCACCACGGGTGAAGGAAGGGAAAGAATACCCATCCTCTTATGGAACTTCTGGGGGCTCCACAGAGGTTCGCACAGAGACAAGCTCAGTCTAATGAGTGATCAGTGAAGCAGGGTCACCAAAGGAAGAGAGGGGAGGATGGGTTCTAAGGCCCCACACCAAGTCCAGGCTGACAGCAATCCGGCCCAGAAGAGAAGCCAGGGGTGAATGGCATTCACAAGGCCTGTCCTGACCCTTGGTAAGGGGTCTGTGCCCGGATGAGGCCGGCGCGCCCCCTCACTCACTGGCTCTGTTGCAACCACGCACAGGGCAGGCTCTGTCCCCTGGGGTTTCTGGATACGAGGGTGGGTCTTATCCCTGAAACAGAACCCAGAATCTGCCTCTGAGACCCGGGGGCCCATGTCTGAAGTGTGCCAGGCCGGGACCAAAAGTTCCAGGAGGCTGTGGGTGCACTGTCTGGGAGCTGTGTGCTCAGGAGAGCCCGAGGGCCAGGTCAGCCTGAGGAGGCAGCCGAGGCCTCTGACAGGGCCACCTGCTTCACCTGGATGACGTCCTGCTCCAGCTCCTGGCCAGCTTGCCGAAGGTCGTCACACCTCTGTCTTAGCTCCTCACCCGCCTGCCTCAACCGCTGATTGGTGGCCACAAAAGCCTGGCTCTGCTGGTAGAGCTGCTCCCGCTGGGCCTCAGGGTTCTCAGTCCTCCAGGAGGGGTCTGAGGAGTCTAGGGACAGAACACAGCCTGCTGGTTAGGAAAGGGGCAGAGAGAAAGCTCAATTTACCTCCCCAAAGCAAAGCATGTGACCGGAGAGGATGGGTACAGAAGAGGCCCTGCCTGGGGTTGGGCACCACTCCTGTAAAAGGCACTGACCCCACAATGGAACCACTGAGCAGGCTGGCACTCATTCCTGTTCTCAGAGCCTAGCATGCAACCTCCTGCTCCCTGAAAAACTACCCTGTGGCCCTGTAACCTTGCAAAAATCCAACAATGGTAGTCAGGAGGCCGCAAAAGCAGGAGGGTGCGGAAACATATCTCTAGGTGACCCCAATTCCTAACAACAGTGTGCCCAGCCAAAGGAAGTGAGGCGGGGGCGGGGAGCAAGATAGAAAAAGCACAGCGTCTAGGTCATCCAGAGATATGTCCAGGTCCTATCTGCTCTACCTGGTCCTATATGAATGGGAACAGTATGGCCTGCCCTGCTCGGCAACTGTCTGCTACCAAATCCCTGCAGGCTAAACACCTGGCACAGGCCCTGGAAACTCCGATATTTATTCATCACTTTTTTCCCCACTCACTTTAGCAATAAAGTGGGAGACAGGCCAGACAGTGCACATGGAGACCAAGTGTGGTCCTAGGAAAGAACATGGGCCAGCAGGGAAGGCACCTCTCCCTTTGAGCGGCCCCAGCTCTGCCTGTGCCGCGGTTTCCTCACCCTCCCGGTGCTGGCAGACCCGCCCATGGTTCTTAAGCTAGGGCTCCAGAAGCTTCAGATAACCCAGGCTGGGGCTAAACAGGATTCCTGTTCCTAAGGCTGCCCATCCAACAGAACATTCCTGGTGATGGAGAAGTCCTCCATCTGAGCTGTCCAATACAGCAGCTGCCACAAGTGCCTCTTGAGCACTTGAAATGTGGTTACCTGGAGCAAAGAACTGATTTTTTTTTTTTTTTTTTTTTTTTTACTATTACTTAATTTTAAAGAGTATTTCCCATAATGTGTCTCACTTCACAGTGCCCACGAGACTCTCGTTTACTATCTCTGGGCCCTATTGCCTGAGGGCAGAACTGTCACCTCTTTTGTTCACCTTTTCACCGAGCTTTTCACAGTGCTTAGAATAGAACCGGGCACACAACAGGTTCTTAATGAAGGTTTGTTTAATAAGTAAGCAAACCTCACTGACAAGAACACAAAATTCACCCAACAACTGTAGGCCAAACCATCAGTCACTGACCAGCTACCACCTCCACAGGGGACTGACCAACTTTTTCCACAAAAGGCCAGACAATACATAGTTTTGGCTTTGCAGAGCCAGCCAATCCGTCTGTGGTGACTACTCAGTTCTGCCATTATGTCCTGAAAGCAGCCAGGTCCAAACACCCAGAACAGGCATGGCTGTGCATCAACAACTTTACCAACACAAACCTTAATTTCATATTTCCACCTGTCATGAAAGTCTTCCCCCCAATCCCAACAATTAAAGAACTGCATTGTTAGCTTTCTGGCCTTACAAGAACAGACGGTGGGCAGAATTTGGCTGCGAACCCCAGTCCTAGACGCCCCTCTGAACACACGCCCACTTTGTTGTGAGCAGAGGAGACTCAGAGAGGGTAAATGTCGTGCCACAACCTCTGCTTCAAATCCACGGTTTCTACGGACCTGCTACTACGGGATGCAGCTGGGATGTGCTTTGCACCCACTCCTCCACCCCGCGCACCTCGCTGCTGGGGTCTTGGAGCGGCCTCTCCCCTGCCGGTCCTGACTCCCCCTACCTTCCAGGGTCAGGGCGGTGAAGACCGGGTCCTCGGCGGGCGCCCCACGCACATCCTCCAGGATCTGCTCCATCGTGGGGGGCGCCGGGCGAGTGGGCAGTACCACGCGCTTCTTGGACTTCGAGCCCATCATCCCTGGAAGCGAGAGAACGGAGGAGCGTTACGGAGGAGTCCACCTCTCGGCCTTTGTGAACTACACACCCTGCCCCACCCCTTCTGACTCGCCTCGCTCCTCCAGAGCCCCGGGGTGGGGGAGTCCAGCTCTGCCTCAGTTTCCCCACTGAAGCCACCTCTCCTCACTGGTGCGCGGCCCCTGGGCAGCAGGCGCCCGCGAGAAGCCACTACAACTTCCGGTTGGAGCGCGGCCTCTCCCTCCAAGCTGTGACGCGACTTCCGGCCTCCTCCTTCTCCCGCCCAGGGCTCGTCGTTTAGGTCTTTCCCCCTCTTAAAGAGGCCGCACCCGGGAGGGACCCGGTGCTGTGAAAGGAGCTGTGACCGAACCAGAACCAGGGAGGACGCGACCTCAATCTCTCCGGCGCGCCGGGCCTGAAAACTCAAGGGGTGAGCGTAGGGTCCAGTCCCATCTTCCCTTCTTGCATAACAAAGCACCCGAGGCCCGTTTTCTCCAAAAGGGACAACAATCACCAATCTAGGTGGATGTCGTGGGAACAAAGTTCCTGTTCATGTAGGGTGGCCTGGTGAACAGTGAGCGCTCAGCGAATGGTAGCTGCGCGAATTACCAGCGAGGTGACCAGGAACGCAGAACACACGCGAGCATCTCGCCTGCTGGATCTGGGTCAAGATCGCTCCTCCGACCTCTAATACCCACCTCCCCTGTGGGTGGTGCAGGATGGTCATCTTGGCTACAATGGGAAGACAGGCTCAAAGCAGAGTGTGATTAAAAAAATTTTTGGCTTTTTTTAAAAGAAACGTTGTTGTTCCACTTACTTATGTGTTCACTGGTGGATTCTTGTATGTGCCCTGAACAGGGATTGAACCCACAACCTTCGCTCATGGGGACAATAACTCTAACCAACTGAGCTGTTTGGCCAGGGCTACTTTTGTGTTGTTGTTGTTACTGTTTAACAGCTTTTTTGAATAAATTATTTACCATGAAGTCCACATGTTTAAAGTGTACAATTCTGTGGTTTGGGAACATATATGTGTCTATGTTTACAGTTGTGCAACCATCACCACAGTCTAATTCTAGAACATTTCCCTCACCCCAAAAAGAAGCCTATCAGCAGTCACTCCCCCACCACCACGAATCCACTCGTTTCTGTGGATTTGCCTGTTCTAGACATTTCACATAAATGGAATCACGCACTATGTGGCCTTGGGTGTCTGACTTCTCTCATTGAGCATGGTGATTTCAAAGTCCATCCATTTTGTATTAAGCGGCAGTGCTTTCACTCCTTTTTCATGGCTGAGTAATATTCCAGTGTGCGTGTGTGTGTGTGTGTGTGTGTGTGTGTGTGTGGAGGGACCATGTGTTTATCTGTTCATCTGCCAATGGACACTTGGGTTGTTTCCATATTTTGGCTGTTGTGAGTCCTGCTCTGTGAATACACTTGTATAGGTTTATTGTGTGGACTTCTGCTTTCAGTTTTCCTGGCTACATACCTGCAAGCAGAATTTCTGTGTCACTTGTAACTGTGTTTTATAGCCTGCTCAACTGTTTCCCAAGGGGCTGCCCCAAGCTGGTGCATTTTGGGTGCTTACTGTGTGCCAGCTGGGAAAACTGCCTCTTGTGGTCTTCACAAGCATTCAGTGAGACAAGTGCTATTGGTGCTTGGCACGGAGGCCACAGAGGCTTTGAGAGGAAGGCCAGGTGGCCCTGAACACACACAGTCTTGTCCTAAAAGGGCTGAGCTCACCCTCAGACCTAAATCCAGAGCTAGGGGTTAAGTGGGGTGAGACTCTGGGAGCCTGGGCAGGACTGAGAGGGCAGCTGGAGAGGACAAAAGAGGGAGATGAAACCCTCTCTTCCCTTGCTGACCACCTGCTTCTTATGGGTCCAACTGGGTATCCAAGTCTCCTCCTCCAAACAGACCTAGGCCAGGGGTCCACAACGGTGTCTGGTTCCAAGTGCTGAGGCATAAGCCTCTCTCTGCCCATCTGCAAAGCCCTCAACAGATCCTTCCTCCCTTCAAAGGCTTGAAGTTGGCCAACCTGAGCCCAGTGGCAAATTCCCAGGTTCCCAGAGCCACACAAGGGAGTGGTTTGTGGGAAGTGTGGGCTCCTACAACAGACAAGGCCTGACCCTCTGAGCCTGAGTGAAACCCCATAATCAAGGGCACAGACTAGCCTTCACTTCTTTGTGGAGGTCCCCTCCTCCCCACTCTGAAAATTGGGACAAATGTGTTCCCAACCCATTGGTGTGTGTGAGAACAGAGGAGAGGCAGTCAATAGCTCCCTCTGTACCCCCTTTCTCACCCCCACACCTCAGGATCCTCCTTCTTTTCCAGAGATGTGGGAAACCCACTTTGCAAATAGGGAAGTGACGGCTGTGGGGGGATGAGAGCAATGTAGCTCTGGCCTATAATTCCCTCAGCCTCCCCATGACCTTCAGAGAATGGAGTATAATTCTTAGAAGCGCATAGACATTCTTCTACTATTTGTCAGTGTCAATGGGATAGAAGGGGGAAAGCGGGCCAGGTTCTAGAAGCTTGGTTCTCAAAGCATGTGGGCACCACTAGGAATCCCCACCCATCCCCACTCCTCCACAGCTAGAATCTCTCGGCCCCAGGCCGACCCTTTTCCTTTGTGGGTTGCTGGGTCCCCTGGCATGGGGAACCTGCAGACTTGACACCTCCTAGTCAACATTTATTTGCAAACTCTGAAGTCAGACATGGTGCCAGACACTCTAGTTAGTGTCACTGGTTCTCCCTCCACCTTCCCCCAGATTCTGGGGCTGCGAAGGAATGGTGGTTGAGGTTGCGATCTGACCTCTGCCCCATCCCACCCCACCCCCATCCCAACATCCTAACTGGGTAACTGGACTTCTCTCTCTCTCTCTCTCTCTCTCTGTTTCACCTGGACCTGCCATGTCCAGGTTACCAGATTCCATACAGGCCACCCCAGGCCTGTGGGTCTGGTGGCCAGCAAGGGCCATCCAGAGGCAGGTTCTCACCCCGCCGCTGATCTGGAATGAGAGAGCGGGGTAGCAGTGCCCGCTAAAGGCCTAAGCCAAAGTGTCCATCAGCTCTCCTTGCTGGATGTCTCTGGTGTCCAGCCAGTAGTTGGGACTGGGTGGGAACAGGGGTGGCCTCCAGCATTGGCGGTGAGGGGGGCACACAGGGGAGTGGGCAGCCTGTGGAGAGGACGCTACAGAGGAGGGGGCTCCAGAAGGCTATGGCCAGCAGGGTCAGCACCATGGCCTAGGCCAGTCTGTGGTCTCCATAGCAGGGGCAGATAGTCCTGGTGGGCTGGGGATGGCCTTTGCGGGGGGTGGGCCCTGGGCAGGAGCACCCATGCCCATCCAGTATATTTGGCAGGCAGCAGGTGGTTCGGCTGAGTGGGGAGCTGCTGTGCAGGTGTAGCAGAAGTGGCAGCTGGAGCACACATGCAGGGCGGGTGTGGCCAGGCAGCCAGACCCAGCAGTTATTGCCTGCTGGGTGTGACTGGAGTACTGTGATGGGCAGTGGGAGAGGTAGAGGTGGCCCAGGATGGAGGTGGGGCTGTGGCATTCTGCAAGGAGGACGGAGACACAGAGGTGAGGTCAGTCTGTAGCCACAGCCCACCTACCCACCCGGGGACGCACATGCACACTGCCAGCAAGCAAATGGGCTATGCCACACTCACCCTGGCACAGCCCCTCTGTGTCCCACTTCACACATGCGCTGCTGGTCACCTGGGAGCCTGTAGGCCGTGCTGTCATGTCCTCAGCCGTCCCATAGAGCAGCAGCGTGTAGCGGTACAGTGTCCCTGGGCAGGGGTCATAGTGAGCACGGGGATAACGGGGAGGGGTTACTGGCAGCCTCTTCCTGACAGTCTGGGCCACACTTGCCAGCCACCCCCACCCCATCCTGGAGCCCCGGACTCAGACAGGGCCTAAGCCTCCCAGCAGCCATCGCAGGCTGGTAACTGGACGGCTATTTCTTCTGGTTAATGGACACCTACTATGCAAGGAGACCACTGGGAGCCCTTCTCCAGTGGTGTAACCAAGGCTGGCCTCAGAGCCCCCAGTCTCTCACCGGTGTTGAAATAGTAGCCCTTGTTTTCCAGGCTCAGGGTCCACAAGCCCTGGGGGTCCTCATCCCAGAAGTGGGTGGACATAAAGATCCAGTTGTTGTAGCCTTGGCCACTGATGTCAAAGGGTCTGGGACAGACAGGTATGGGTGAGTCAAAAGAGGGGCTTCAGAACCAGTCATGAAGGGGCCACTAGCCACAACAAGTGTCTGACTGCAACGCCAAATGTTGGCTGTAGGACTGGCCCCATGGAACTGGTCCCTCCTTGCGGAGGCCATGCCAGACCCCAAACTGTACTAGCCCTTCCCTGTGTGAAACCATAGGGCTAGGTCCTTGCCCCTGTACCTGATGGCAACCAGTGTGGACCGGGTGCCCATGGGGCTGGTGAGTGAGATCTCCAGGTCCCCCCGGCGGCTGTAGGACAGTGACAGCTGCACCTGTACATGCTCCAGTGAGCGGATGTAGTTGGCATGACCAGCACAAGCCAACACTTTCTTCCTCACATGTGTCAGCGGCAGGATGGGGCTGGAGGTGTCATGGGGGTGGGTGGGTCAGGGTCCCTCCTGCTGGCCTGCTGGGGGCATAGGCAGCCAGCTGGCAGGGTCTGGGCTCAGGTCATGGGGCCCACTCTCTGGCTTTACTGAGGCCTCAGGCAGGGTCTGCCTTCCATGTGTCCACCCCCTGGGTGTTAATGATAGGTGTGGGAGAGGGCTGGAGAGGTGACAAGTATGGAGGAAGGAATGGGCAGGTGTAGGTGTGCACAGTGGCTGGGACCAAAGAGGGCACTCACGTGGGGGTGTGCAAGACCTTAATGGTGCATTTCTTCTGGGGCTGTGTGGGCAGCCATGCTCGAGCCAAGTCCACCAGCAGCCCAGCATCCAGCAGCCCGTAGCCATAGTGGTGGCTCACTGCGTGGAGGTGGCTGTCACGCGCCCTGTGGGCATGGTTCCCCACCTCCACCCAGCCCTGCCGCACCTTGGCGCCCCACACCATTGGCCCTCCAATCCTCAGCCTGGAGATGTGCCTGCCTGGATGCACGAACCACCAAGTGCTGCATGTCCCTCCATGTCAAGAATGGGCTACGGGCAGGTGAGAGTGTAGGCTGGGGCCACAGCTGGGAGGCCACGGTGGCAGGTAGGGTATGGCTCACAGTGGTAGGTAGAGTCCCCCACTGTCACCTACTTGGCCTCCAGAGCCAGAGCGATTATGCCTGCAGCTAGTGGAGCAGAGGCCGAAGTGCCTGTGTGCTTGTCGGTGCACTGGTGGTGCAGGTCCGTGGTGACCTGGGGGTAGAGATGCGGACTCAGGGGGCCTGGTGCCCATGAAAACCCAGCCCTTATTCATGTAGAACCAGGGTCTCAAGAAGCCATCACAGAACATTACACCAGAGGAGGGGCCTGAGTGCTGCCCACGTCCGCACTCCAGAAACACAGGCCGGGGGTGTAAAGGGGCAACAGTGGGGCAGGGCCTGGGATCCATGCCTGTGTTCCAGCACTGCAGGAGCAATCCCTGGGAGGAGGGAAGATCGGGGAGCAGGAGGGAAAATGAGGGGACAGGAAAGGTGAGGGGTCAGGAGGGAAGGTGGGGGACCAGATGAAAAGTAGGGACACAGGAGGGAAGTGGGGACACAAGAGGGAAGGTTGGGGTACAGGAAGGAAGGTAGGGGGACAGGAAGGAAGGCAGGGGGATAGGAGGGAACGTAGGGGGACTGGAGGGAAGTTGGAGGGACAGAAGGGAAGGCAGCGGGACTGGAGGGAAGGTGGGTGGGACAAGAGGGAAGGTGAGGAAACCAGGCTTGTCTAGGCAGGGTGAGCATGGTGGCAGGATCCACTCACAATCTGGGGGTCAGTAACAATGCCACTGCTGTAGGTGGTGGTGAGGGTGGAGGCACAGGCCTCACTGTACCAGGGCACATGACCTTGCTGGGTGGTGCTGCCAACGGATAGTGTGTGGATGCTGTTGGTGTAGCCGTCGCAGTTGCAGTTGTCATAGTGCAGGCCACCATTGCCAGATGCCCAGATGAAGAGTGTGCCTAGCCCACCTCGGCCCTGCAGATGGAGATGGGACAGAGGACAGGGGACGGGGGCATCAGCCTTTCATGCAGGCATAAGCCCTCCAAAGACCTAGATCCCCCACTCACCTTGGTCACGCCGCGCCTGAAAGCCTCTCGGGTAAGGATACCAGGACCGTCCACCGTTCGGCCGTCATCCTCGGGGCCCCAGCTGGCACTGTAGATGTGGATGTGCTGCGGCTGCAGGCTCAGTGACTGGGCCTCGATGACATCAGTGATGGTTCCATCCAGCATGCGCACGCCTGCACAGGCAGCTGTCGGTCCTTTGCAGACAGCCCTGCTGGTGCCCCTGCCTGTCCAGGCTGGCTCCAGATGCCCTGGCCAGCTTCTCTCTCTGTTCCCAGGGAGTGGGGGCATCTGGCAGTCCCTACCCTGAGTCTAGGGCCCTGGAACCCTGAGCGACAAGGGTGTGGACACCAAAAAACTTCCTCCCCTGGAGGGTGTAGGCACCAAGAATCTTCCTCCCCTGCTTGATTTACTAACTCTCCCTGGCATTACCAGCCACCCAGTACCACCTTGTCCAGCTTCTGTCCCTGGCACACTGGAGTACCTCCTATTCGGGCATTGTAGGCGACACCTGTACCGCAGAATCTGTTGTTAGCTATGGCTGCCACTTCCCCAGCACAGCGGGTCCCGTGCCTGGTGCCAGGGCAGAGAGGGGTGCCCGTCACAGCTCACCTCATCCCCCACAGGGCACAAGGGTCATCCCCAGGCCCCATGGGACACATGGCTTACCGGTTCTCGTCACTGGGTGTGTATCGTGGCTGGGGGTCTGGGTCATAGTCATTGAAGTCGTAGCTAGCCAATGGGTCCTGGGTGTGGGGTGGGGATGTGAGGACGCAGGAGTGGGCTGAGGAGGGGGTGAAGCAGACCCTGCCCCAGACCGCATAGTTGGGCTGCAGGCTCACATAGTTGGCCCAGAGGTCTGGGTGGTCCTTCTCAATGCCATCATCCAGGACAGAGACCACGATACCCTGGCCTGACAGCCCCTGGCTCCAGACTTGCAGAATGTTTAGGTCTGGCTGTACTTCGTTGTTCTGTGTCAGATGGGCTCAAGTCAGTCAGGCTCCCCCCTGGCCCAGCCCAGCCACACGACCCAGCCCACTCACCATGTACCACTGCTTGGAGAACCAAGGGTCCACAGGCACCACCAATGAGCGCTTCACCCTCCACTGCAGAGTCTGCTGCTCAAACCACTGTACCTGCAGGGGAACATGTGCCAAGAAGCAGGGCTGGACCAAGAGGCTAGCCCACCCTCCCCTCAGCTATCCTGCTCTCACACCCATATGCCCTTTAGAGGGCCCTGTCCCATGAACCAAGAAGGCCTGCTCATCTGAGTCTTTCCCACCAATTCCTGGTCAAAGGACCCAAGCCTGTATCTAGGGTCTTCTCAGACCTCTTCCCAGGATCCACCGAGGGGCAACTGTGAGGCTGTGGTTGGGGTGGAATGTGTGTCTGGGTTGTCCACTGCTTGTTCTGGGGCTCTTGTAGTGTGGAACAGGGCCTGGGACCCTGTGTTTTCTGCGGCTGCTCTTCAGGGTCCTGACATGCCTGGGGCTCTTCCTTCAGAGGGGGCTGAGGCACTTGGAGCACCCGTCCCCAGGGCCCACAGACAATTGGCCACTGCCTGGGATGGCTGGGGGTCCTGGGATCCCAACTCTACCTCTCCCCCATCCCTGTTCTAGATTCCTCTGCCCAAGACCTGTCCATCTCTCCTCTGCAGTGGCCATTTCTCTCTATCAATCTCTGATCCTCTAGCTGCTCCCCAACGGCCCACCCCGCCAACCCACTTTCAGCACACAGCAGCAGCACTCTCTGTTGAAACCTTCCCATGGCTCCCTACCCCCTCTCCAGGACCTACAAGGCTCTGCCTTTCTGGCCCTCCTCACTAGCCTCCCTCTGCTGCTGCCATAGTGGCTGCCTCACTCGGGACCTTTTCACGTGTTCTGTCTGCCCAGGTTGCTGTTCTGAGACCTTTGCTCTTCCTTCTTCGTCATTGATCTCCTACCTCTCGCTCACCCAAAACCAGCTCATGTCCACCGCCCCCATCTCAGCAATCAGGGCCATCATCTCCCCATTTGTTGTGCTCCAGCCTCGGGAGCTGGCCCTGATTTCTCCCTCTCTGTCCTGTGTGTCTGATCCATTGCCAATCCCTGGGTTCTCTCTTGCAACCACATCTCCAGCTCGCCAGTTCTCTCTGTTGCCAATGCTCCAGGAGGGCTTCGAACAGTCAGGTTTCTTGCCTCCTTGCCAATTAGCCCTCTAGTCCAGTTCATACCCCTTTATGGCTACTCAAGGCTTGCCAGGCTCAGCCTCAAAACCTCAGCTTGGCATCTAAGGCCTTTTCCCTGTGACCTCTCTGAGTGCCTGGAGACAGGGTGCTAAGTCCCAATTCAGCCATGGTCTCATTGTGTGACTGCAGGCAGGATTCCTCCCCTTTGGAACTGTTTCCTCTGTCACAAAATGAGCCAATTCCCCTCCTTCCAACCCATGAGCTAGAATGTTAACTGCCCCTCTTTATGAGGTACCTGGGAACCTCAATCTTTCAGGATGAGATAGAGGAGGAAATGTGGGGTTTTGACAAGAAACGCTGATAGTGTGCCAGGCCCTAAAGTGTGCATCGTGCACATGTGTGAGCTCTTGCTCCCCATAGATCTTCCCCATCTGGGTCCCCACTGTATAGACTGCAGAGCCAGGTGGAAACTAAGACTCAGAGAGGGCAGGTGAGTTGCCAAAGGTCACAGCCATTCATAACAATCACAAGAATAATAGCTGGGGGGTGGGGCGAGAATAACAGGGGGTGGCTAAGACCACGAGCAGGCAGCCCCAAGGCCAGGCTCACCTTCGGGTCTTTCTTCAGACGAAGGCGGTGGCCCCAATGCGGGGTCAGGGACTGCTGGACGACGCCGCGGTGCCGCAGGTGGAAGTACTGCCCGTCAGGGAAGATCTGGGAATGTGGTGGTGCAGCCGCATCGCTGTGACCCGACTCCCCTTATGGAGCCCCCTTCTTACATACTCCCCCAACCAGGCGCTCAGGTGTGGGCTTCAGGTGCCCTCTGGGGGTCCTAGAATCTGAAGTTGGTCGACGCAGGGATTGGTTGGGCGTTTTTAATATCTAGGGGACCTGAGGGACCACCTCTCGTCTGTCGAGATCTAGGGTCTTGGGTTGTCCAGTCTCCCTCCTCTCCCGTCCATCCGGGCCCCACCCACCTGCCCCAAGTTGACGAAGCCGAATTTGCGCGCCAGGCGCTCGGCTTCCCGGTAACCCTGTGACACCCGCACGGCCCAGCTGCTGACATAGACGGGGGCCCGGGCCGAGGCCAACTCCACAGAGAGGGGGCAAACGAGGGCCAGGCACAGGGGCAAGACCAGGCGCAGCCGAAAGACAGTCCGAGTGGGCCGCATGGCGGTGGGGGCGAGGCCTCCAAAAGCCCCTCCCCCTGGCCAAACCGCCTTGTCCGCCCAAGCGCCCGCCCCGCTCCCGGTGCCATAGCAACCCCTGAAAAGCCTCAACTCCCAGGGGCCCTTGCGACTCCCTTTGAGGGGCACAAAGATCCGACAGAAATGGGCGGACGGACACACGCAGGCCCAAACCCTCTGGAACCCCAGTCTGCATACTTGTACAATGACCCAGTTCTTCTGACCCAGAGGAGCGAGTTCACTGTTGTCATGTTGTCCCGCCCCTTTATTTAGCTCCGCCCCTTCCACCACACGGCTCCCTCTGGAATCAGCCCTGCCTCCTCTCCCGTCCAACCAGAATTGTTCTTTAGAGTGATTCTGTCTCCTATTCAGTTCCGCCCCTTACCTACCGTTCAGAGCTCGTCCCGCCTTTTTATTAATATGCCCCGCCCTTCCTCTGTTCTTGCCAATAAATTCCTTCTCTTTTCTCCAATCAGCTCTGGACTTTCTTCGGCCCCTCCCACCAGCTCCGCCTACCGCAGCACGCTTCTCTCCTCCGCCAGCTCCACTTACACAACCGCTCAGCCAATAATCCTTTGCCGTGACCCCGCCCCTCCAATCAGCTACGTCCCACTATGTTCAGCCAATCGGTGCACTCGGCCGCCGCGCCCCGCCCCCTTCCTTTAAGATCTCTCCTGAGGCGGCCGAGGCGGGCCAGAGGGCAATGCGGCGGAGGAGACGGGGCAGGCCCCACCTCCTTTGTCCGCCCTGCCCTCCCATTGGCCGCTGCGGGGGGCAGGGGGCGGAGACCAGCCAGGGGGCAGAGACCATCCCGGGGGCCAAGCGGAGCGGCTCGCTTCGTTCAAAGGTAGCACGCGCGCGGCCGGGCCGGTGCGCTGCAGTGAAGTCGACCTCGGGCTGCCAGCCCCAGGCCCGCCGGTGCCATGGACGGCCTGCGCCAGCGCTTCGAGCGCCTTCTGGAACAGAAGAACTTGGCCACCGAGACACTAGGGGTGCTCGAAGCCAAGACCGGTGTCGACAAGCGGTACTTGGCCGCGGGTGAGCCGTCCAGGGACACTCGGGGCCGTCGCCCCATTTCACCGACCGGCACACTAAAGCCCTGGGGCACCTGAGCCTCGGCACTGCCCCACTCTGGCCTTCCCCGGCGGCAGGGTCCGGGCCGTATGGAGGGGTCGCGCCCCACTGTCCAAAGGGGAGCCCGAGATCCTCGCTGGGGAGGGGTGGTGGACTGCGACCTCGGGTGAGCTCGCAGTCCCTCCCCCTTGCCACCGCCGTGCCACCTCGGGCAAGGGCCAATCCCTCTCTGAGCCCCTGCAGCCCCCCTACTCTAGCCCTCTGTTCCGGAGGCCTTCCTCTGCCCCCTCCCTTGGGGTGCTGGGCGCCGGCCAGGCCGAAGTCCGGTTCTTCCAGTTGCCCTGCTGGCCGCAGGGGTGGAGGAGGGGGCAGAGAGGCAGCCAATTCCCTGAGTGTCTCTTCACCCCCTTCCCAGATGTCCCCCAGCCTGAAAGCAAATGTAGAGATCTTGTTTTTTTCAGAGGGCATGTTCCCTGCCAGGAGGAAGGGTTGCTCCCACCTCCTCTCCCATTGTTACCCTCCTAGTACCACCCTCTCGGCCTGCTTTCTCTTCTCACTGATCAATGGCTTTGGCCCGCTGTGCTGGAATAGTTGAGTTGGAGATGGGTTATTTGGGAGCCCAGGAAGAAGGGGCTGTGTCCACCCGGGACTGTATTTTCCATCCTTGTCTCTTTCCTTCTCAATGACCTGGGGTGGCTCCTGCCACTTTCAGAAACTAGTAAGCTGTTAAATGCCTTCCCTCTTTTGCAGTGTTCCAGGCCCACCCATTCTGCCACCTCTTCCAGGAAGACTCCCTGGAGTGAATCACAAGGACACTGGTGGGGGGTCGGGCTCTGGGTGAGGACAGTGCCAAGTGTCTTGAGCACCTTCTATGTGCAGATGCTGGGAGTCCACTTTCCTCCCATTTTCCCACCAGCTGGGAGATACCCATACCAGGCAGGCAAGGAGGATCCAAAATCTCCCCCCAGGTTCCCAGTGCCCAACTCATTTCTGCCTAGCCAGCAACCTGCCCCTGAAAACAAGCCATTGACCTCCTGCCTGGCTTTCCACATCTTTGATACCAGTAGTTGGGGCATTTAGGTCATAGAGCAATGGGGAGGGGCCCAGGAGGAGCCTGATAGAGGCTGGCAGTTACAGAGAGGAAATTAAGGCCCAGGGAGGCAAGGGCTGTGTGGGAGAATGCCCCAGCCACCTGCTTTGTCTGGAGCATCCAACCCTCCTCACCTCTCTGGGCCCATCTGTTGTTGATCTCAGGCTGTGCCCTCCCCCAGCCCATGTCCAAGGTCATCCTCCTATTGCTGAGGCTGCAGGAATAGGGATTGAGGGGAGATTGCCCTGGGAGAGCCGATGCTCCCTGACTAGCAATTTCTGGGGAAGAGGTGACATTCCCCTATCCCCTCACCCAGATGTGGGAACCCTTGGGCTCTACCTGCCCCAGATTGCCAAATCTCCAACCCCAGGTAACAGGGAAATGCAGAGGAGTCAGCTGGGGAGGCCAATTCTCCACTATTGACCTTTGATTCTGGGATAAAAACTAAAGCAGTGGAGGGAAGGGTGTGGATGACTCTGCCCTTTGCTCCAGAGTGGTTTCTATCTCTCTGCAGATTATCGCCTCAGAGAGGGAGGTAGGAGGCTATAAATGCTCCTGGGTGACCCTAGGCAGGCCCTTCTCCCCGACAGCTTAGTTCTGGCCATTGCATGAGACAGAACAGGGAAGCACACAAGAAGCACTTAATAAATGTGACAGATACCATAATTGTTTTCAGAGTGGCTAATGCTCCTGGTTCCCCATCCCCACACTATTCTCCTCTGAGCTTCATTGTTGGGAGTGTTTTCCTGACCCGAAGGCCTCCTCAGTAGTGTGTGGAAAGGACACTGTCGAGTGTATTTTGCTAACCCCAAAACAACCCTAGGAGGCAGGGCCAGTACCACCCCATTGACAAATGAGAAAACTGAATCTCCAAGCAGATACAGATTTGTTCAGTGTCACATGGTGAGTGAAAGGAAGATCAGAGGGCTCCCCAAGGTCTGAGAGACTCTATACTGCCCTTTGCTGCCTCCTACTAAGACAAGGGGTCCCAAATGGAGCCATGCTGCCTCCAGTAGCACACTTGGCAGTGTCTGAGGACATCTGTGGTATCATGACTGGGGGGTACTCCTGGCATTGATTGGGTGGGGACCAGGGAGGCTGCTCAACACCCCACAGTGCCCAGGACAGCCCCCTGAAGAGGATAGCCTGGCTTGCATGTCAGCTGAGACTGAGAAACCCCACACTAGGTTTAAATTGTGTTGCCTTTGTCCGTTCACCAGCAATCACGTCTTAACAACAGAATGGTCTCAATTTTAGGTTTTTCTTCTGTTACTTATATTCAAATGCTGGCCTTGTGGCCCAGTCCCTCCTATAGGTCCCAAAGTGAGGTGGTTAAAATTGCAGATGATTACTTGTTAATTCAACAAATGTATTGGGCAGCTACGCTGTACCCACCAGGGCCAAGGACCCTGCCTGCCCTTGAGCTCACAGTACTGTGGGGGAGACGGACATGTTAACTAATTACAGACACAGGACTCAGGGTTCAGGGCCACAGACACAGGGTCGCTCATGTGCTGTGGGGCGACATCCTGGAGGGGTCACCGAGGCTTGTGACAATTCCGTTTGGTACATCTGCCAGGCCAAGAGGAAGCTGGGGGGCCTGCAGACTGGGCACGGAGTGAGCCAGACTCCTACCCACGCCCCTCTTTTCTGCAGGAGCCATCACTCTGCTAAGCCTGTATCTTCTGTTCGGTTACGGGGCATCTCTACTGTGCAATCTCATCGGCTTTGTGTACCCCGCATATGCTTCGTGAGTGCCTGCGGGTTGTCCAGGTGGGGGGCGTCCAGGGATTCTGAGCAGCCATTGACCTTGCCATATACCTCCCCCCAGAATCAAAGCCATCGAGAGTCCAAGCAAAGAGGACGACACTGTGTGGCTCACCTACTGGGTAGTGTACAGCCTATTCGGGCTTGCCGAGTTCTTCAGCGATCTACTCCTGTCCTGGTTCCCTTTCTACTACGTGGGCAAGGTGGGCGCCACTGGAACATACACTGGACGGGGCCTCCTGGGAGCAGGCAGATGACCAGAGACTAGGGGGTCTGAGGGGCCTGCCCTGCTGCCTTCTGGGATGTCTGATGGGGATGGCCCAGGCCCACCCCAAGGGGTGTCTGATGGGGCTGGCTTAGGTCCACATAGCCAGGTGAGAGGTCTAACCCCTCCTCACAGAGCCCAAATCAGAGGAGCCAAGTGTAACTGCTGCCCATGCCCACAGTGCGCCTTCCTGTTGTTCTGCATGATTCCCGGGCCGTGGAACGGGGCTCGCATGTTGTATCGTCGCGTCATACGTCCGCTATTTCTAAAGCACCACGAGGCCGTGGACAGCGTCATGAGAGACCTCAGCGGGCGAGCCCTGGACGTGGCAGCAGGAATAACCCGGAACGGTGTGTGTGTGTAGGACATGGGGGCATCCATCTGTCCCAGTCTCAGTCTGTCTGTCCATCTTTCAGCTTGGCCGCCCCCACTCGCCTTTACTCCTGCCTCCCCTCCTCCTGACTCTGACTGGCCTCCATCTGGCTTCTTGGCAGTTGGCATCAGGCATTCTGCCTTCCCCTCTCACTGTCCACCTCTCTCTCCTATGCTCTCGGGAACCAGTCCTGCAGACCCTGGCCCACAGCCAGGCTCTCATCTCTCCAGTAGCTGTCGGGGAGGGCCCCCCACTGCCCTCAGAGCCAACCATAGGTAACTGGGGCCCTGAACCCTGAGTTCATGTGAGTGCATGCATGTGTGCCTGTGCCTGTATATGAGTGGGTTTGTGTGTGCGTTGTGTGAGTGCGTGTAGATGACTGTCCCTGCCAAGGATGGCTGCTGACCCCACCCTGTCTCCCAGCAGCCTCCATCCCACTCTCCAGCAGCTGAGCACAGTCCCAGGGCCTGAGAGCTTGGCCAGATCCACCTCACCCCATGACCCTTTCTCTGCAGGCAAAGTAAGCGTGACCCAGCTCCAGCAGGACAAGTGAAGTCCCCAGTCAGCCCCCGCACAGACCTGCCAGACAGCCAGCCAAAAGACACATTGCGTCCCAAGTCCTCCACGGATCCCTTGACTAAGACTAACTCTCCAGCACAGACCCCCACTGTTCCTTCAGGCCATGGGAGCTCCTCGTTTACCACCTTGGGCCAATCCCAGCCTCAGTCCCGGGTCATAGGCCCTTCCAGTGGCTCCAAACTGCCTGGCAAGTCCCAGGCCCAGCCTCGGTCAAGAGCCAATTCCTCCAGCCAGCCCCAGAGCCCTGGACAGCAGCCCCCTCAGCCATCCACCACTTCCCTGGGCCCCTCCCAGCCAGCCCACCGATCCCCGGGCTCATCGCAGCGGCCCAGCACTTCCTCCAACCAGGCCCCCCTCACTGTGCTGGCCCCCAGTGCTACCAACATCCCCATGCAGCCCCCGCAAAAGACCTCCAGTGAACCAGAGGAACTGGCCCCCAATGCCTCCAAGTCCAGCAAACATCATCAGAAAGGGTCCCCAACACAGGCCCCAAACAGCACCTCGGTTCCTGAGCTGCCTGTCTCCTGCCAATCTGAGTCCCCTCTGGAGTATGCCTCAGAGTCCACCACTGAAGTCACCTGCTGCTGGCCCCACCACCGCCCCTGGCTCCGATACCTGGAGCACTGCTGGCGACTGAAACACCTGGCCTGCTAGGAGAGGGCTCAATAAAGCACATCTGGCCAAACCTCTCACCATCTGTCCTGGGGGGGAGGGGACAAGGTGGTCTTTGTGGGGACCATCCCATCTTAATCAGGAGATGAGGAGGTAAAGCCCCATTTTACAGATGAGGAAAACAAGACCTGAAATAGAGGTCTGGTCAAGTGGCCAAGATAAACGAGATGAGAATTCGAGTCTAAGTTTTGGGGGTTTTATTTATTTTTAGACAGAGGGGAAGGGAGGGAGAAAGAGAAGAGAGACATTAATGTGCGGTTGCCTCTTGTGCGCCCCCATACTGGGGACCTGGCCCACAACACAGGCATGTGCTCTGACTGGGAATCAAACAAGTGACCCTTTGGTTTGCAAGCCAGTATTCAATCCACTGAGCCACACCAGCCAGGGCCAAGTGTTTTTGTTTGTTTGTTTTGTTTTGTTTTTGTTTTCCTGGAAGGGGATCCCAGGAAACTCCAGTAGGGAGCAGTAAGTAAGTAAGTAAGTAAGGCTTTTCCTTGGGGATGTGAGATTTGTCAAGAGGGAGGGAGAGATTGAAGGTAATCATTAATGAATTAATATTGCTAAGAAGTCGACATGGGCACTGGGGACAGGGATCTCAGAATCTGCTTATCACTGGCCCAGCTATATGAAGACTGCAGTGTTTGGCTTTGGTCTGGGGGAGGAGATGGCAGTGCTGGGCTCGCTCTGCACCTGGCATCCCACACACCCTGCCGTCCTGGGGGCACTGTGAAACAGGTGCTCAAAGGTGTCCCTGGCCCAGCTCTGGTCAGCTCACCAGGGAGTAAAAGTGGGGAGGAAACATACCTGTCTCCACAGGTAGAAATACTGACTTTTAGCTCCTCAGATTTGTTTTAATTTGAACATACAGAAAAATGTAACCAGTGACTCAGAGATAATAAGGGCCGACCCTTCCCAGTCACTCCCGAACCCCAACAGTGTCTTCTGTCCTTTCCTGTCTGATTCAGAGCTGTGTCTGTCAGACTCACCGCCACTGTGAGAATTGTTGGTGCTTTGCTCTTTTTTGTTGGTGGATAGCAATTCACTCTGCGGGTCTGAGCCCAGAGTTTACTTGCCCCATTCCATTATTGATGAGTTTTCTGTTTTGGGTTATTGTGATTAAAGCTGCTAGGAATATTCTAGAACTGGCTTTTGGTGAGCACAGCTTTCACTTCTCTGGGGTTACCACATATGGCGGGGAGGAAGCTTAAAACCGCAAAGATTTAGTCTCTCATGTTCTGAAGGCCAGAGTCAGTGTTACAGGGCCATGCTCCCTCCTGAGATTCCAGCAGAGGGTCCTTCCTACCTGTTCCAGCTTCTGGGGGCTCCAGCTTCCCTCGGCTTGTGGCCTCATCACTCCAGTTTCTGCCTCCGTCGTCACATGGCTGTCTTCTCTGTCTCTCCTCTGCATGTCTCTTACGAGGATATTCGTAGTCTTTAGTACCCACCCAGATAATCCAGAATGATCCCATCTTGAGACCCTTAATTATATCTGCAAAGACTCTTTTTCCAAATAAGGTCCCATTCACAGGTTCTGGGGATCAGGACATGGACATATCTATTTAACTTACTACCGTGATTTGCATTTATCTATAGCAGACATGGCTAAACTGTTTTCCAAAGTGGCTCTGCCAACCTCACCGGCACACCACACCTAACCCTATAGGCTGCCATGGCCCAGGGCTTTCCGCAGACCTTTGAGTGGACATGTTTTCTCCTGTGGGTCAGCTGGCTGGTACAGGGTCCATGAGAGAAGGGCAGATGATTGGGAGGTGCCCTCTGCAGAGAATTAGAAACGAAAATCATGACTGAACCCGAGTGCTGACGTTTGGAAATATTGTTGAAAACAACTTTTTGTGGGGCCAATAAAATGATTTTTTTTATTACTATGGGTGCAAGTTTCAAATGTGCCCATTTTAATTCTTTATCTTTTAATAAACATCGCCATTTGCTGGAAATCAGTTTGGAGAATTCCTAGTTCTGGACAAGCAAGGACACATGCCATGTGTGCTTCCTTCAAGAGGAAGTCCCTGCCTTTAGCCATTTGTGGTCACTTTCTCAATGTATCTCTAATCCAGCAGAGCACTGTATACCCCTGAGGAGACAGAGCAACTGATAAAAAAGGGCCATGGGGCTGTAAAGAGGAAAAAACAGGAGTCACTTTCTGTCATTCTGTGTACCCCCTGGAGTTATTAGTGTTTCAATGTAAACCAGCGAAGCAGTGTGATATTTTTGGTTGGCAAGCGCAAATGGCAGTTCTGCCCCGAACCACAAAGTTGCTGAATTTGAGCATCTTTAGAATGGTTAGATTATTTTAAAGCTAAAGAGCAAACCAAAGCAATGTGATGTTTGCTGGGAGTGTTACAAGATCATGACTAGAAACGATGAATGTTGCCGAGGACTGTAAAGGGGCTGGGAAATCACTGCTCAGGTGGTCACAGGCCACCCTGCATGCCAGAGACGGCTCTGTGCTGGCCCCTCTCTGGGGCAAGTGCCTCATGCCAGTGGGTCCAGATAATTCAGAAATAGGAGCTCTGGGGATGAGAGGGCCCTAGACCCTCATTCCTAGACATAGCCCCACGCTACAGGCAGGCAGAGGGGACAATCTTGGTTCAATGGCAGGAGGAATGGAGCTGTAGGTGGGAGCTGGTATAAGGAAGCTGGTAGGCAGAGCGAGGCATTCCTGAGCGTGGAGAGCAGGACTAATAAAATGGCATTGGTCCAGTCAAGATAACATAAAGTATATAAAACAAAATGGAGTCACTCATGTCAATCAGTCAAAGGGTTGAACAACAGTCAAGATGGTTGACTGGCAGCCATGACACTTTGGTTCCAAGGGGAAACTACCTAAGTCATGCTGGACGCATCTGGCAAGAAGACACACCCAAGATATCTGCACACATGATTAGAATAGCCATGTCTGCAAAGTGTAACCACCCACTGATAGGCTCCTGGGCAAATTCCCCACTTGACATTAGGGATGCCAAGACATTTATCAAAAAGACCCAGAAGGGTGGAGTGCACCACTTTCAAGGTATAACTGAAGCAGGTTCCAGACTACTGCTGGGACATCCAAGCTTCACACATCAGAGTGCTGCTCCATGCCACGCTGATCTCCCGTGGTATCAGCCACCGGAGGCTCTGCCCTGCTGGATTGAGGACTTCATCTGCCCTGCTGCCCACCTGGTTCTGGAAATCCTTCCTTGCGGGAGGCTGACAGCTCCCTTTCTCATTGTGCTGTCTCTCGGACCTGCAGATTGAGACTCTGGGACTCGGGTTCGTTATCCCCCACTGATTGCTGTGTGTGTATTATAATTCTCTTAGATCATTAGAGTGTGAATAGGATATTAATGTATGTTGATGGTCCACTTTAAGTGAATCTGCATTTAATAAAAGCTGAGTGAATAGCAAACTATGTGTGACTCTTTGTCTATTTCTTGGTGCCCGGTGTCTCAGCGGGCAGCTAGCTGAGAAGTTGCCTGGTGGACTTATAGGAAAGGCTATATCACGAACATACACTCATGACACTGAGGAAGGCAAGGGCAGATGAGTGAAGCGGCTATCCAGGAGGAGGTACATAAGCATAGGGCTCATCCCGGCTGCAGGTAACCAGGTGCCTTGACCACCTTTTCCCCGTCCTGCCACCAGGGGGCACCCAGGCCCCACATGTCCCTGTAGATCTGCACCTTACTTTGCTAGGGGGAGTTGGGGTTGAGGATTCTCCAGCTTCAACTTGTTGCAGATGACAGCGCCAGGCCTGGGAGGCCCAGGCACTGCTGGGCCCCTGGCATACTGTAGGCACTCAATAAAGACACATTGGAGGAATGCCTGAATGAACTGAGGGGCTAGAGAAGGGATCCAGAAGAGCGTGATTCCCATAGTCAGAGGGCTAAAAGGATACTCGCGGATGGGAAAACTGAGGCTCAGAGAGGGGAGGGGCCTGGCCTATGGTCACCCACAAGATCAAGGGCTGAGCCCATCCAGTTCTGAGACCTGCACACTGTGTGCCCCTTGCTCACTGCCAGCGTCTGCACTCTGGGAGAAAACATGACCACAATGGTACTGAAGAGCAGGCAGTCCCGGATGACGGGGAGCTACTCTATCCAGAGTGGGGAGGCAGAATGCAGCCCCTCAGGGTCCCCTCGCTGGAGACAGTTTGCTGGGCCGCCCCACAGGCACCCTTAATCTCACACCCCTGAGATATTCTCTCTTGCTCCAGAAGAATGAAGAGAATCTATCCAGGACACCACATATGGATGGGGATAGGCTGAGGGCGAGGACTCTGCCTGCCTCCTCTGCTAGGGAGGGGTCCCCCTGGGTGACCTGAGATGAATGTGTGGCCCCCAAGCAGGCATGGAGAAGGGGCTTGGGACCTATAAAAACCACATTTACCCTCCACTTGTCCCCCATTTTCACACGTTCCTGGTCCTCACTTCCCACAAAGGGTCAGACATGCTGAAGGGAGGTGGGCGATGGACCAGGAGGAGGGGGTGGGGTTTGGAGATCACACGTGTGCATGCTGTGAGAGCACAGTTGTGGATCTGATTACCAGTGCATCTCCACATCTCTGTGGCCAAGTGTGTGTAAGTGGGCTGCCCTTGTTTAAAAAAAGAAGTGCTTGTAAAAATTAAATAGAAATAGAAAAGGGTTGAACAGCAGTGTAGACTAGAGGAAACCCAGCCAGAACTACTGAGGCTGTCAAGATATCTCTTAGTTAATAGTCATTGGCATATAAAGCATAGGGAATATAGTCAATAATATTGTGATAACCATGTATGGTGCCACTTGAGTGCTGGAAATAGTGAGGGAACACTTTGTAAAGTATTTGATTGTCTAACCACTAAGCTGTGCACCTGAAATCAATACAAAATAAAATTGAAAGGAAAAAAAAAGATTATCTTTGAACTTCCTGGTAGTCAGCGCATAAGGGGAAATTAGTACGGTACAGTGCCTGGTTAGGCATGTCTTCTGGTGGGCATGCCTGTTTGTGACAATGTCTCTGAGTATATTTGTGTGTGGGTAACTGGCAGTGAGATGAGAGTATAGAGTGTCAGGGAGTTAAACAGTGATGAGCTTCCCGGTAGACAGGGCAAGAAGGGAAACTGACACATTACAGTGTCTCCTTAGGCGTATCTTCTGGGCCCTGCTTGCTTGTGAGAGTGTCTCTAAGCAAGTAAGTGTGAGGCAAGGAGAATAAAAGCAGACATGAAGTTTTTGAGTATAAGACAGCTATGAGTTTCCTGGCAGCCAGATTGAGAGAAAATGAATTAAAGAAGCATTTCAGTGTGTTTTTATCATTGCCTGCTTATTTATGGCAGTGGACCTGACTGACTACATGCCAAGGTGTGTAAGTGTGTGTGAGGGAGAGTCACATAGCTCTCTGTGGTGGGAGATACTTCTGAGCTCCCTGAAAGCCAGGGCAAGAGGGGAAGTAGGCTGAGTTTGAGCCAGATCAGGCAAAACTTTCTTGCTGTGTGTGGTGGGGCCTTGTCCAGGGGCTCAGACAGGGCAGTGTCTAGCAGCCAGGCGTACACGGCTGTCCTCGGCTGGGCTCCAGGGCCTGGCGTAGCCTGAGTGGGGCAGCAGCAGCCGGTCCTGAGTGCCATCAGGACTGACGAGGCGCTGGGCAGCCAGCAGGTACTCTCGATGGAGGGACATTGGTGGGCAGGGGCAGCGACCTGGTGCCCACACATACTCGAGGGCCTGCAGCGGCGAGCGGTTCTTGTAGACAAGCTGCACACGCACCTCATAGCGAGTCTCCTGGGCCTGGCGGACGTGGCCCAGCACTTGAGCCCGGAACACTGTGGGCAGGGTGGTGCTGAGGCCAATTGGATGGTCCAGCCTGGACACACATCCATGCACCCCATTGCCATCTGAGGGAACTGAGGGTCAGGTGGGACATAGGGGACCCGTAGGCACTGTGGAGAGGGTACTGGGGTCAGGATCAATAAGGACTTAGAGGTCAAATTAGAGCAATGAGTCAGGTCGAGAAGTCAAATTAGGGCCAGAAGAAGGGGTCAAGTTGGAGGCAGGTCAAGGAGTCAAGGGTGAAGTCAAATCAGGGCCAGATGCGAGCAGGAAAGGAGCCAAGTTCAGGTCAGTTAGGAGCCAGGTGAGGGTTGGGGAAAAGGGTCTCTCACCAAAGTCACTGCCGCAATAGTGGAGCAACCGGTGGGCACGACCGCGGGTATCGGGACAGGGTGGGCAGGGATCTGTGAGGTGGTGCAGTTAGGGCACAGGCCTCACCTCTCTGCTTGCCCCCACCCTGGCTGTGGTTGTTTCCCCCTCACCTGGGGTGGGGTTTGGGGTCCGTGTGGGGAAAGCCGGGGCATCGTGGGGCTCAGGAGACTGAGGTTCCACCTGCAGAGGCTGTGGCTGCCTCAGGGACCAGCTTAGGGCCTGTGCCTGCTCCTGGAAGGGGCCGTAGAGCTCCCGAGGGAGCCAGAACTCGAACTCAATGCCAGGATTGGGCTCCTGCAGGAGGACCTAGGGGGAAGGTCGCATACTAGGGAGTGGAAATCAGAACTGATAGCCAGCCCGTCCTCCCCGCTCTCTCTACTCCCACCATGCTCCTCTGCTTCTCTATCCTTGTCTCCCTCCTCTGACTGTCTACCCCAGCCTGGCCCCTCTGACCCTCTCTAATTCAGTCTCACCCCTCTGACCCTCTCTGTTCCTAGCCTCCTCACTCTCTCTCCTTGCCTCCCCTACTCTTCTCCTAGCCTCCCCTAGATCCTTTAATCCCGATCACCACATGCTCAGCCGCCCCCTGAAGGCCCGGCGCGCACCTGCAGGAGCAGGTCTTGGGTGGTGGGTCCCGCCGCGCGCAGCGTCTCCTCTGGCCCTGTGGCACGGGTGTAGACCACGCGGGTGCCAGCTACCTCGTAGGTCCCGGCCGGGCTGACCTCCCAGTTGCCGTTGAGCACGTAGCGCCCGTCGCCCCCAACCAGCGCTGCAAGGGAAGGGTCAACCCGGGCTCTCCGGAACCCACCCCTCCCACCTCCCGAGCCTGGCGTCCCGCTCCTCCGGCCTCAGTCTTCCGGCTGCATCCGGGCGGCCAGCAGGGCACCTCCCCCCTCGGATTCTGCGATACCCAAATGGTTGCGGCTCCGATGGGCGGCGTAGATGTGTCTGGCGCCCTCGGGGATCAGGGTCACATTCCAGTACCCGGCGAAGGTCCCTGGGCAGGAGGGAAAGAGGGTGTTGGGGTGCGGGAGGGGTGTATGAAGGATGCTTTGAGAATTAAGTGAAGTGCTACAACTAAGGAGGCTAGTCTTGGTCCTGGTATCCCCAAAGCACTCCGTAAACGTTTGGAGTTAACGATTATTATAGTTTAAGGGAAGCAGCCAAAGAGTTAGAATCCCATCAGTTCTGGTCAGGGCGGGACAATCTCTCATTAACCAATCAGAATGATGAACAAGAGGGGTCGGCCGCAGACTGCCCAATCAGCACGGGACTTCACTTCCGTGCCTACAACTTCTTAAAGGGCTCGCTATAGAAGAGTAGAGAGGACGGAACAAATGGTCACCGGCGTCACGGAACACGCGCTGCACGAAGAGGCACGAGTCGTTGGCGCCGCCGCAGCGACCGCAATGATCCTCGCGGGCGTTTGAACCCATTAAACCGTCACAGCCGGCGCTCTAAAGGGGTGGGAAGGACACACGTCATGGAGAGCCCCCCACCCCACCCGGGGCCTCAGCAAGGGGGTAGTGGCAGGGGGCGGGGCTCTGATAATTAGGAGGCGGGACCTAGAGACGAGGGTGGGCCCACGCCTGAAATAAAAGAATGGGATCTGGGAGTAACAGGCTGGGCCCAGAGGTAGAAGCCTGAAGTGGGGCTTAAGGAAGAGCGCGGCCTGCAGAAGGTGGAGGGACTCGAACAGATGGAGTGGGGCCTGGGCGGGACCTGAAAGTAAAAGGGCGAGCTCTGGAGAGAAGCTTGGGGTGGAGCCTATGGGGGCGGGGCCCGGTGGGGACTCCGCTAGGAGGGAGGACGGGGCCTGGAACTAAATAAATGAGGTTTGAGGGCGGAGCCTCAATGGGAGGTGGACGGGGCCTGGAGGGCGAGTCCTTACGAGGCAGCGTCCCCCCACGCAGAGTCCGTGGCTACCCGGGCTGCAGGGAGTGCCGTCCAGGACGCGGCCAAAGCTATGGTAGAAGGCATGCCCTAGGGCCAGGCAGTTGAGGTCGCACTGGTTGGGCGCTGGGGTCAGAAGGAGAGAGTGAACCAGAGGTCTTCTGTCCCAGTTTCAGCCCTCTTCCTTCCAGGTTCCCCCAGAAATCCATCCTCTCAGGCAGATGAGGCCCAGAGTTTCAGCCAATACCACACATCAAAATTGAAGCAGAGCCAGGACTGAACTTGCTCTCTGGGACTCTCCCAGGCAAGTATCTTGGGCCTTCATGCATGCATGCATGCATTCATTCATTCCACAAATACTCATTGAACAGCTACTATTTTCCAGACACATTTCTAGGCTCAGCGCTGAGCAGAACTGCACCCAGTAGTTGGCCAGTAAAAAATGTTCAGTGCTGACTGGGTCGCATGTAGCCGGGGTGTATCTTTGGCCCTCCCTGGTACTCAGTTTCGCCCTCTGGCTGGCAGGGGGGACAATGGGCAGTCCACTCACAAATGCGGGCACATAACCCTGATTCCTGCTCCTCCCACTCAAGCTCCCACCTCCCTGCGCTTGGCTGACCCTGCCTGGAATGGAGCCTGGGCTGGCCCTGGCGGGCCAATTCTTAGAGCAAAGAAAAAACAAACAAACAAACAAACAAACATACATGAGGTTACAGATGGAGGACTTTTCTCCATTCTAGGCTTTTCTTATCTGTGTCTGCTCCCATCTTGGCATCTAAAGCTGCCTGTCTTCCTTAAACCTGGAGGCACACTGCCTCGGGCACACAGTTATATAACTTGCTATTTTCAGCTCAATACAGGCTACATTTCCTGCTACTGGCATAAGTTTGAGAACTGTTGGCCTCTGGATACAGCTCTGAGTAAATTTTCAGCCTGGTGTTCAACCCTGTACAGAATAGACCTTGCCTCCCTCTGCCTCTGCTTTACACCTCACATGTGCTTTTTCCCCCTTCACTTCACCAACTCTTACATATGCTTCAAAGCCTCAGTGCCTATGCCTACTTCTCCTTACTACCCTCGAAGTCCCCTTTCCTTCTTAGCAGCCATCTCTCCCTGCCAGCTCTGAGTTGTTCCCTCCGGACCAACAGGAGGGCAGGCTACTCACCACCATAGAAGGGCACCCATTGGTAAGTCTTCTGGAGGCCCAGGACAGGTTGGCCATTGTAGAGAGCACACTGGATGTCTCGGAAGGCCGTGGCCCCTGGGGGACAGTCCTGGGGACAGAGATAGGTGGGCCAGAGGCTGAGACAGCCTCAGGGAAGCCCAGAGGAGCTGGCAGGGTGGCAAACATATTTGAGGCCATGAGGGGGAAGCAGGAGGGCTCCAGGACAGACTCGAGGGTATGGGAGACGGACAAAACTTACTGGTAACTGGCAGAGACGGTACTCATGGGTGTCCCCCCAGCACACCTCTTCCCTGGGAAATCTATGAGGAGCAGGGTGGCTAGAGTATGGTCAGGATCCCCGGTAGCCCCCTCCCCACAGCCTGCCTGCATACCCTCCACACACACACTCCCCACCCCCCAACCCTACCCACATTCCAGGTGGATCAGTGGGATTAAAAGGCACAGCATGTGTGGGCAGGCCAAGGGTGTGGTCAGCGGCTAGGCCTGGCTGGCAGGAGAGGAGGGGCAGGAACCCCTTCAAACATGTTCAGATGATATATCCTGCTTATTGCTCACCGGATGCAGCGCCGGCTGCGCACAGAGAGCCCCTGCCCACAGGAGCTGGAACAGCGGCTCCAGGAACCCCATGGCGCCCACTCTCCCAGCCCCTACTTGGAGAGAGAGAAGCATGGTCAGCCTGAAAGGGAGGCTGGCACCACCCACATGGCTCGAGTCCCTGTGCCCAATACCCCTGGGGTTATGTCTTCCCTTACCTGAGCACTGCCCCCCAAACCACAGTTCAGGAGGGTCCACAGCAGGAGCAGGAGTTTCCATAGGGGGTGGAGTCTGGGGGAGCAGAGAATGGTGCTGCAATAAAGGTATCAGCAGGCCAGGGATTGAACCCCAGCTCTGCCCTGACTGTGTGATTTGGGGCAGTAACTTAACCTCTCTGAGCCTCCCTTCTCATCTCTGAAAAATACAGCCCCCCTTGCAGGAAAGTTTTGAGGGGTCCTTTGGATCAGGGAAGAAAAATAGGAGGCACAGAGCCTGGAATGGAGATAAAGAGCTCGAAGAGTTATTATTATTATTAATTATTATTATTTGTTTATTATCTTATGATGCACATGTAGGTGCTCAATCAGTGTCCAATGACAGAACAAATCATTCCAGGACAGTGCACAAGTGTCTCTAGGGTCAGCGCCCCGCACCACTCTTCACCATCATTGCTTCTACCTTCCTGTGTGGCCAGGGGCCAGCCACTCCGCTTCCCTGGGCCTCAGTTGCCCCATCTGTGCAGTGGGAACCATCTGGGGTCAGTCCAGGACTCTGAGACCTTGCAGAGGGTGCAGCCAATGGGGGCTGGGTCAGGGACCAGATCCCTCCAGGGCCCCCTCTGCTCCCAGGCCCTTGGCAGCAGGGAATCCCTGGACTGGGGAGGGGCAAGGAGGGGTCACCTGACCCTGGGCCAGCCAGCGCCTCATGATCTCATGAGCAGAGGGTGTGGAATGAAGCACCAGGGTGGTCTGTGAAGGGAAAGGGGCCCCTGATGAGGATGACATGGGAAAGAGGGAGACAGCTGGGGTGGGAAGGCTGGGCTGGCAACTCTGCCTACCCAGGCCTCAGTTTTCCCATCTGTAAGGAGAAAAATAAAGCCACTTGCCATCCACACCCTCTGCGTGACCATGACATTGGCAGAGAAAGGAGGAGGGAAGTGGCAACCTCACGAGTCCTTATCTGGGCCAGAGCCAGGGAGCCCAGCAGTCAGCAGCGCCCAAAGGACACGCAGGACAAGCTGGAGTCCTCCTGCCCCTAAGCTCCTGGGCACTGGGAGGGGAAGGCTGGGCCCTGCTGGATCCATAGCCCCTCTTGAGCCTCAGTTTCCCTGTATCTCAGGCCCTCCTGGCTCTGACACTTGGACCTGGGGCATCAGGGGTCTGGTGCTGAGGTGGCTCCAGGTGCTGAAAACCTGGAAGACCACCAGCTGAGGTTCCTCTCTCTGACCAGATCTGTGCTGCCAGGTGCACCTCAGCCCCTCTCTGAACCCAGGACCCTGGCTGGCCCACAAAGCAGGAAGTTTGGAGGGAAAAGCAAAGATAGGGGAGGTGGCTTGGCCTTCTGACACCTGCTCCTGACTCAGTGCTGGCTATGAGGTGGGAATCTAGGCGATGGAAAGTAATGGGCTAGAAGGACCACCCTCCCACTCCCCAGAGCCCCCTTTCTCAAAGAGCAGGACACTTACACCCGCTTTTGGCTGAACTCCTGTGAGTGCGATCTCAGGGCAAGCCATGCCTCTGGGCCTCAGTTTCCCCGGGAAGAGGTGAGGATGAGCTTTCTCTCTCCCTGGGGGATTGCTGCCTCACCGTCCCCCTATCCCCATCCCTCCACAGCCCTACTGGACCCAGGGAGGGGGAGGAGAAGCGGGATCGGATAGTGAGTGGACAGGAAAAGGGGTTTACCGGCTACTTAGAGCTCTAGCGGTGCGTCCTGGCTCTCTGGACGGCCCCAGGGTGAGACGAAGCGGCGGCGCCCGCGGGGAGGGGTGAGGGGAGCCCAGGGCGGCCCCTTCCACCCGGCCTCCCAGGGCGCGCCCAGGTCGGGGTCCAGAGGGGCAGCGGCCCCTTGCGCCCTCGCGCGGCCGTGGAGGAGCGCTTCCGAGCGGATCTGCAGCAGGAGACTACTTCGCGCGGATCCCGGCACCCCAGAACTGCGGTCTGGTGTCTGAGAGTCCATGTCCCGGTGACCTTGGAAAGCCCAGGGCGGGAGAACCGCGAGGGGACTGGACGTCCTTAACCCCACCCCGGGGCTGCTATTCCGGGCGCCGCGCTCAGGGCCTGGGAATGTGGGAGAACCGAGGTCGCCCTGCCCCGGTTCCGGGAGTCCGGGGCGCTGCTCCCTCTCCACCGACGCCCAGATCGCGTCTCCGCGAGGGTCTCCTTTCCCAGCCACTATCCCCTTCTCTGGTCCTTCCCTCAGAGTCAGCCTACTCAGAAACACGCGTGCCTGAGTTTCGATCCTGGGGTTTCCGCTTCAGGTCCCGGCCACAACCAAGGACAGGGCCTCCAGCGCACTGGGGGAAAGCTCAACCCCGAGTTGGGCGTAAGGGGCGGAGAGCCCACTCCCGGCAGGCGCATTTCCGGGCGCTGCTGTCACCAGAGGACGCGCCCCACCCCGCCTCCTGCCCTCCCTGCCAGGCCCCCGGACTGTGAGCAGCTCTGGGGCCAGACTCGAGTCCAGAGGTCTCAATTCTGCGTGGCCGTGGCCCTACCCTCTCCTACCTCAATTTCCCCGATTGGGCAAGGGGACCACCGCGACTCTTCCAGCTCGACTCCAGCTCTTTGCGTGGACTGGGATCAGGATTACCCCAGGACTCACCACCGCACCCTTTCCAGCCGGTCGCCGCCCAGTCCCCCCGCCTACACAGGGACGCAGCAGGCGTCCTCTGCTCACCCCTCCCTCACTGTCACCCGAAGTGCTCCTTGGTAGGCGGGTTGAGGAGATGCGGCACTAAGGAGGCGATGGGTGGACTGCTCCTCTGCCCTCAGGCTCAGCCAGGCTCAGCTTGAGTTCCTCCTCCTCCTGGAAGCTTACCATAGGTCTCCCAGCTCAGACCACAGGGAGAAAGAGGTTGCAGGTCCAGATCTGTCTGCACTCCAACCGAGAGCAGCTCAGAACAGAGCCACCCAATGGCATTCATTTCTTCAACATTTATTGAGAACGTACTATCAACATGTGCCAATACAAGGGTGAAAAACCCAGCCAGTCAGGCTAGTGAGGGAGGAAGGCAGCCCCTGGGCAGGTATAATCTAACGTTGTGGTCAGGTGCTCAGAGGAAAGAGCCCAAGCCCTCTGCAGATGGGAGAAACGTCAGGAAGGTCCTCACTGGGGAGATGATTGCCACAGCAGGCGGCAGGGAGGGCGGCCCAGGGAGAGGGCACAGCATGTTAAGAGGGTATAAAGAGTCAGGAGATGGAGTAGGTGGAGCAAGTGGCCTGAGTGGGGGGAGGGGATGAGGTCAGAGATCCAGGAAGGAGCCATGGGAAGTGGAAGAGGGTGCTCTAGCTTTGGAAAAGCCATCCCTGGCTGCTGTGGGGGCAAAAGTGGGGGCCAGGAATGCAGTGAGAGGCAGCATCGGGTGTTCTGGGCAGGGGCTAAACTGGGGCGTGGGAGGAGGTGAGAGCAGTGGGTGGTTCCCAGCTGTTTGGGAGCAGAGTCTGCAGGAGTTTTTGATGGATCCCATGGGGGAAGTGTTGGGAAGACTGTGAGGCAGGAACTTGGCCTGAGTGGCTGGTGAAGGGAGGTGCCCCATTTACTGAGGAGGGCAGGCAGGTGGGTGAGGACAGACTCAGCAGTCACTTCTGAACCGCTCTAGGGTGAGGTGGCTGTGGGTCACCAGGAGAGGCTGGGAGTCCAGGGGTCAGGTCTAGGTGGAGGTGGACACGTGGGTGTCCTCGGCACATGGGGTTGTTTAGTGTCATGGATGAGGTCACAGGACATGAGTGTGGATGGAAAAGGGCAGGGGGAGAAGAGGTGAGTGCAGAGTCCCAGAGATCACGCAGGGCTTCTGGGAGGAGGGCAGTATGGCCTGTGTGGGCAAGATGAGGATGTGGACCAGTGGACCGAAGTGGATTGTCATTGATGGAGGCAGTCATGACCTCGATGAGGTTAAGCCTGCTAGGACAAGGCTGGAGAGAGGATGGCAGCAGAGGGAGGGGGGATGGAGAAAGCAGGCATCCTCTTCTGAGCGCTGATTATGTACAAAGCTATGGACTGGGGCCTGGTGGGTCATCAGAAATAAATCGGGCTTGGTCCAGGGATGTCACAAAATGGACAATTGCATCCCCCTTAGAGGTGCCTCATTCCCCAAACCCCAGGCACAGTGCCATGCAGGGTGTGCATACAGAGGGCATTGTGCCCTGCAAAAAGTGCATACAGTAGGCACTATATTCTGCATGGAGCATACACAGCAGGTGTTATGTTCTGTAGAGACTGTATTCAGCAGGAACTGCATCCTATAGAAATGTACGCAGCATACGCTTTGCCCTGCAGGTAGTGTAGACAGTAGGTACTGTGCCCTACAGGTAGGAGACATTGAGCCTTCCAAAGATTGCCTACAACAGTCACTGTATCCTGTAGAAGAGTGCATTCCTGTAGAAATCAGTGCACCATGCAAGGAGGGTTCACAGGAGTTACTTTTTGCAGAGAATGTCTGGAGCAGACATTGTACTCTATCTATAGCAAGTGTATTTAGCATCCACTGAGTCCTGTAGAAAGTGAATACAGCAGGCACTGCACCCTTCATGGGGTTCCTAGTTCTTGTGGAATCACCAGGTGGGGATGGGGTGAAGGTGTGGAGTCCTGGGCCTACTTCCCCGTCTTTGTCTTCCCTGTGGCTCTACCTCTCTCCTCTGAACATAACCCAGTTGGATTCAGTAGATTCCAGAGGACAATGCCCAGAGTGTGGCTCAAAATACCTGGTGCAGGTGGAGAGAGTGGTTGTGAGGTTCAGAGGCTCCAGGTCCAGTGGCATCTCAGCCCCCTACCCTGTGCCCAGGCCTGAACCCTGGCCCAGGGTCAGCTGGATTCCCCATCCTGAGTTCCAGCCCAGACCCCCTTCTGGAGGCAGGGCCAGGACAGGATCAGGCGAGTGCATGCGGGTCATGGCAGAGGCGGGTCAGCTGGACTGCTCCCTCTGAGGTCTGTGGCCTCATGGCCTCCTTGGGGGTTAGGAAATGCCTGTGAGTAGATCCGATGGTCTCCTCATGCCCCCTCCTCTAATTCCCTGTGCCACCTGTGATCCGTGGATCCTGGCCATATGGCCCCAGGACACTTCAGCCCTCTGAGTTGACTGGATGGAAGAGGTCCTGCCACTCTTGCTCCACAATCTAAGGTATCTGGAGCTTCCCAGATGTCCCTGAGTATGAGCATGGATAGAACAGAAATTGGGACCTACCACGGCCAAGGTCACCCATGTGAGCTGTGATTGCCACATGGAAAGAGCCACTTTAAGCATTTAAGAGGCAGGAAACAGAAAGAGCCAGGTTTCTGAGACAGTTGTTTGAGTCCTTGGATCGAGCCATGCCCAAAGCCGTAAACCCAGTATTTTTCACTTTAGCAACTTTGGGTTTCTGTGGCTTCTAATCAAGAGGTCTCCGCTAATGGGGAGTGTCCTTTGTATCACCCTCATTCCATACAGGTCCTTCTTCTCGTGCCACTGACCCAGTGACTGAGCTCACCTACTGTGAGTTGCCGCTGCCTTGAAGACTCTCATATCTGATGTGACATTCCTCACCCCTACTTTATGGGGTGGGACACTAAGGTACAGAGGGGTGAAGTCACACTCAGTGAGACTCAGGGGTCCTGGGACAACTTCATAGCCACACCTGAATGGGTACCCTCGGCTCCTTTTGTGGGTGAGGGTACGGGGGGACTTGCCTGAAGTGGGGATGCTCCAGGCAGAACCTGGTGGATGAGGGGGAACTGGGTGGCAGAGGGTGTGAGGAAGAGGGTGTTCTCAGCAGAGGAACAGCATGTGCGAAGGTGAGGCCCAGGCCCAAGGGAGGACTTTGCGGCCGGAGCGCAGTGAGCAAGGACATCGGCTTTGAGGCTGGAGAGAGGCAGAAGTCTCATGTGTCTTGGAGGCTGAGGAACATGGAACAGCCAGAAATGGCAAGTCATCTAAGGTACGCTGTTGGGTGGAAAATATTAGAAAAATCATGCACAATGTGATGACATTTTTATAAAACAAGCGTGCATGTTACCATAAACTCAGACAGGAAATTGAAGGATACACCCCTAGTGTTGGCCACGATGAACTTGGGGCGAGGGTTATAATTGACTTTGAGTTACTGCCTTATAGGTTTTACTTGAATTTCTTATAATGATCTCCTAATTCTTGTTCTTTCTTTTAAATAAAATTATAATTTTGGAATCATTTTAGATTTACAGAAAGTTGCAAAGACACTACAAAATTTCTGTCTACCCTCTGTTGTCAGTAGTATAATGTCTCTTCCCCAAACAGACCTGTAGCTATGTCGCCTCATGTGGCAGAGGGGACTTTGCAGATGGATTAAGTTAAGGACCCTGAGATGGAGATGACCTTGGAGGGCCATAGAAGGTGGTGCTTCTAGAAGGATCCAACAACAGTGGACGCTTGGAGGCTGGGAGAGGCAAGGACAAGGTCTGACCCTGGACCAGTGGAAGCAAAGTCCCCCCCCCCCCCCACCAACGCTGAGCCGGTCTCAAAGCAGTGTCCTGCTGCAGTCACGGGGTTTCTGAAGCACAGAGGCAGGGTTCCCCCTGCTGACTCTGCTCACAAGGCCCTGTCCCCGGAGGCCAGCCTCCTGAGTACAGCCACGAGGGAGCCCACTGCGGTTCAAAGGCTAGGAGTCCAGAGAGATACCTGGAGCCAGGGTGAGTCACGTCCGCCTGAGTGCTCCCGTCCTGGCACCTGGGAGAAGATGACAGTGCCCAGGCTGGCCCCATGCCAAGCCCCTTAGCCTCCCTAGGGAGACCTCCAGGAGTCTGGCTGCCCAGCGCTGTCTCAGCAGCTGCCCCCTCACCTGCAGCAGGTATTTTGAGCAAAGCTTCCTGCACTTCTCCAGGGAAATCTGCTGAGTCTGGGGAGTTATCTCAGGTCAGTGAGGAAACAGAATGGAGGGGAAGTGAAGCTGTGGCCTGGGGTGTAGGGATTCAGGGGACGGGCGGCCAGGCTGGGGCCCTGGCTGGTCACCATCTGGCTTGGGGAACCTGGGACATGGGTCAGCATGGGAGACCAGGCAGCCCCGTTTGCAAAACTGTGATCAGCACCCAAACTGTGCCTCAGTTTGCTCATCTTTAAAATGGGGGGTTTAATAAGTCCCCTAAGGTTGTGTTTTTGGGGGAGTAGAGTGGGGATTCTAGTTTTTCCTTTTTTTATTGTGACAAAATGGCGTATGTTATGACACATAGCATAAGTTTGCCATTTTAACCATTTTTAAGTGCACAGCTCAGGGGCAGTAAGTACATTCACATCGTTGTGCAATTATCACTGCCATCCATCTCTAGAACTTTCTTATCTTCCCAAAATGACACTCTGTCTCCATCAAACGCCAACTTCCTTTCCTCCCCCTCCCCCAGCCCATCACCCACCATCTACCTTCTGTCTCTGTGATTTGACTCTTCTAGGGACCTTATATGAGCGGAATTACACAGTATTTATCCTTCTGCATCTGGCTTACTTCTCTCAGCAGAATATCCTCAAAGTTCATCTACATTGTAGCAGGTGTCAGAGTTTCCTTCCTTTTTAAGGCTGAATAATATTCCAGTGTGTGGGTGAGCTGCATTTTAGCCATTTATGGACATCCAAGTTGTTTCCTTTTTGG